GGGGGGGGGTAGTAAAATCGGGCAAGGGACAGGGCATACGGCATACAGCAGTGGAGCCCACAATCTTTCGTCTGCAGATCTACTTTTCAAATGATGAGATCTACCAACGAAAAAATGCCTGCATTCAGGGGCGGGAGGGGGCGTGGCAGTGCATTGAAATCAATGGCACCGCAGCCACGCCCACGGTGCGATCGCCCGCACCTGGAACGCAGGCACTAATGTGTCTGCGTTCCAGTCCAGTGCGATCTGCAAAAATGCTGCAAGCACTATTTTTGCAGATCGCGCTGGACTGGAATGCGGGCGAGGGGTGTGGCTGTGGTGCCATGCCCCTCCCACCCCTGAACGCAGGGAGCTGGCTGGTTTGCGTTCCAGTGCGTTCTAGAGGCTGAACACTTTGGAACACAGACTTTGTGGTGTGAACCGGCCGTCTCTCTTGGCTGACTCTTCTCTGTCTCCTCACGCTCTCTCTCCTCGCTCTCTCCTCTGTTTCTATCTGCTGTCTCTTCTCTCTTTCTGCTGTCTCTTCTTACCTCCACTGCAGCAGGCCTTCCAGGTCTCCTCTCGTGCGCCGGCGTCCTGTCCTCCCGTGGTGGCCGACGTTGCACACGGGGAGAGGTGCCCCGCCCCTTCCCGTCTGCGGCGTCTGACACATTTAGCCGGCAGTCGCACGAGCACCGCGGGAGGACAGGACACAGCTGATCGCGATCTACCAGTGTTCGCTTTGCGATCGACTGGTAGATCGCGATCCACCTAATGGGCACCCCTGGCATACAGTGTTAATGATGATTTTTGGGGGCATATGCCCTACGCCCCAAAGTTTCCAACTGGTTTAACTCCATCTATCAGCTTTTATGGATGGCTAATATGGCACAAGAGTCTTCCACATATATATTTGCACCATCTTATTAACTAAGACTGTTTGTGTAATATTCATATGCTTTATCTCTCTTAGCTCAGCGTCATGCTAACTGTAGATGTTGTGTATGATTATTAAAGGAAGACTAATTGTTCCCATGTCGCTGCCTCTTTCTCTGTGTGGGATCAGTATGATGAAGATAACGGTTTTATCCATTATATACATATTTTCATATTTTAGATTCCGAAGAATGGAGTGAGGAGGAGAAGGATGAGGAGGAGGATAGCATTGGTTCTGCAAGGTGAGGCCATCTGAGAAAAGAAGTACATCAGGTTTAGCTCTCTAAATAAAGATTCTGGCTCGATGTCAAGCACCTCAATCCTTAACAGAGTTGGCCATACATGTGTACAAACTTAATCCTATTAGTCATTTGGGGTAAAACAGTTGCTCCTATGCAAAAGCCAATGTAATTATTATGCAAATGGGTTTATCATCTCTTTTAAAAAACACCACAACATAGATGTTCATGTCATATCTGATGATTGTGAATGCACTCGCTTCCTGCAGATACAGACACTTAGGCCACATTCACACTGAGCGACATGAAAATCGCGCGATTTTATATGAGCGATATTGAGCGACGAGATGTGAACAGCTCCATTGAAATGGATTGGAGAAGCTACATAGAGCGATATCGCGTGGAAATATGAGCGATATCGCTGCAAAAATCCTCAATAAATCGCTCAGTGTGAATGGGGCCTTATAGTCTGTCATTCAAAAGAATTCTGGAAATCCATCACCTGAAGGCATCTGCTGAGGCTTGGGGAGCCCTCTTGAAAAGCCACTGTTTGCAAAGTATTTCCCAATTTGTCAGAAGTGGATGACAATCCTTCAGTGTTGATGAGAAATTTAAAGTAACCAGGTCACTATAGTAAAAATTTCCAGCAAACCATAGCCTGTAAAAGAAGAATGTATATACTTAATTATCCTCCTGCCACCAAACTCCACTCCGTTTGTGAAAAATGGTCCCCCAAAGTGCGTGAGTGTCAGTGTCCCGGGTCCAGTGCAGCTCTCACTGGTTCCTTCTGCTGACCTTTAGCTCATTACTGTATCCTACAGTGGCATCAGCAGGAGAAACCAGGAGATCAAAACTTATATAAATGTCAGTTTTCAAGTGTATTTCACAAAGAGTTAAGTATTGACAGTGTTTTATACAAGCTAAGCTTTTACTATAATTTACTAAGCTATTACTATAATAATTTTGCTTTAGGCAGGCATTGTTTTCCTGCATTTAATGCGCATTTGAAGCTTACATTAAAAGCAAATCTGAAGATACCCATGTATATTAATAGTGCAGTGTAGATGACCCTTCTGAGGCTGCGTTTGACCTGCTTTAGGTTTCTATGGAAGCAGCAGGTTCTACTGAGATCCATTTGCTTTGCAGACAAAGCAGACCATTTTGCATTTGAACATATGTGTTTGAAATGCAGCATTCATCAACAATGCCCATCTACAGCCCTATCGGTTCTAAGGCTATAAAATGCAGATGGCCTCACCAACACTATGATTACCCAAAAATTGTTGAATTCACACATTTCTTTTTTGTCCCTGATTCTGATTCTCATACCTCCCAGCCATTCCTGTTTTGAGGTATATTCACAATTCACAGCTGGGTTGGGTCGGTCTTAGCAAAAGTGGTCTTGGATTTACTTAGATGCAAGTAGTTAGGGATAAGGTTTGGGTAGGTCAGGGGCTAAGTTTAAATCTTTTGCAAGGCGGGAAATGTGGTCTTTTAAATTTGCAGTCCAGGCATTACTTTAAATGGCGTTTTACATGTAATGCAGTACATGTCAATGTCGTATTTGATTTCTTGTGGCAGCTGCTTTTCCATCCCTTTTCTTTTTTATTTGACATGATGTTGCTTTTTTTAATCTCTTATCTCCCCTTTTCTAATCCATTGCTTTTTTTTAAATAAATCATCAAATTGGGTTAGCAAACATTAGCCAAAACCTCTTCACAGCATCTTTCTCCAAAGATCTCCATGGTCTCTTTCCTGCCATTTGTCCAGGCCAGAAGGCGGCACATTTGTCTGATCTACAAAAATACACTATGAAATTGACACCCAAAAACCACTGCTGTGGACATTTGTGTCACTGCGTTCCCCCTAGTACTGTATTAGACAGGAGCACCACTATTGGTTAGAAAGGTGCTCTCGACACTTCCTAGCCCAGGGCATGGGAAGATGTCCAGATACCACCAAGCAATGATTAGAAAGGTGCCCGGGATACTAACAATGGCGTCACACAGTGAAATAAGTGGTTTTACCCTTTGACATCATTGATCATTTCATGCACATAATCGCACAGTAAGGCACCATCCTTAGTTCCAGAATGTTTGGTAGTAAACTTCTTCACCCACTGATGCCAACGGCAGCACCTCCTAGCACAGGGCATGGGAAGATGGCCAGATACCACCAAGCAATGATAAGAAAGGTGCCCTGGATACTAACGATGCCATCACGCAGTGAAAGAAGTGGTTTTACCCTTTGACATCATTGATAATTTCATGCACATACTCAATAGCACAGTAAGGCACCATCCTTAGTTCCAGAATGTATGGTAGTAAACTTCTTCACCCACTGCTGCCAATGGCAGCACTTTCTAACACAGGGCATTGGAAGATGGCCAGATACCACTAAGCACACAACCGTGGACCACTGGTGGTCCATAGTTTGAAAAAAACACTGCTTTAGTAAAATTATGTTTTTTTAAAATCTTTTAGGCATTCAGATGTTTCAAAGAAAGTTTGTGTGTTTCCTCCAAAAAATGAGTTCGACCTTCACATACGGGGCATCGTGGATGGATATGAGCAGACAATAGGTATGTTTGTATATCAATTTTATTATCTCCGCATCCAAGGATCAGTGCAGTCCAAAAAAATAATAATGCTCTTTGAGTGTACACCGTGGTCAGTATATTGATTAACAAACCGAAAACAAAAGGTTTGTAACCACTATTAAGTTACTACATCTCAGGGCTTTCCTATTCCCTTGTTACATAAACTTGTTCAGGTTTAAGGATTATTACTACCAGCCAAGTTCTAAATAATAAAAAGTAAAAAGTTTACTTAAACACATTTAAAACCATTAAAAAAAAAACAAACATAGGAGACAAAAATTAATCCTTTGCATTACTATCTAGTTCAAATGAACTGTTATCTTGAACATTCCACAAGTACTGTCACGGTAATATAATGTATATTTACTTGTGAAATACAGTACACTCGCACACAAATGTGTGTATGGAGGAGAGGATCACTGGGAAGTGCATTTTAAGCTTATACACTTCTGGGGTTTACATAGTCAAGGAATTACTTAACATCCAATACTGTCAATCCATGTGAACACACATTTGTGTGAATGCATCTCACAAGTGTACATCATAAGCATTTAAGTGCAACTGAAGCCAAAATTATTTAACGTTTTGCAGAGAGTGATGAGGGATTAGAATACCTGTCAAGTTTTTTTTACTGTCTGTGTCCCTGTACACCCTCTTTATTTGTCCTGGTGACCAGTATCACTAAAAGTGAAAGAAAATCCCAAAAATCACATTTTGGGTTGTCATCAGAACAGAAGTAGATGGAAAATCTTCCAATGAGGACACTTGTTCCGGTGACCCTGCTGACCGCCAGAGATTTCCGCCTCTTAGGAGGAATTTCCTCTAACTTCCTGTTTTGGCTATCGGACAGGAAGTAAACCCCCCATGGGACACATGTGGCAAGAAAAGGAGACAAAGCTAATAAACCCTTACTACATGAAAATGTTTAGAATGTGTTTAAGTAAACTTTTTATTTTTTTATTATGGTTTTAAATGTGTTTAAATGTAATGTTTATTAAGAACTTGTCTGATAGTTATTTCTTTTCACCTGATTAAGATTAAGGGAATAGGAAAGCCCTGGGATGTAGTGATTTAAAAGTGGTTACAAACCACTTTCTGTTTGTTAATCATAGGTATGTCTATTTTACCAGAAACAGATTTCGGATATTGCATGGATTTGTTCATCAAATAATAAACACAAGGAAAAAAGCAAAAAAACAAACAAACATATTTTTGAGTGGTGTTCCAACATTTGGCAACACTTTGGGGAATGTTCTCTTCTGTCCCAGCATGACTGTACTTGTGTGCCAAAGCCAGCTCATAAAGACAAGGTTTGATGAGTTTGGTGTGGAGGAACTCAAGTGGTCTGCACAGGGTCCTGAGTTGACCTCAGCCCCACTAAACACCGTTGGGATGAATTGGAATGAACTGACTGCAAACCAGATCTTCTCATCCATCAATCATGCCTAACCTCAAAAAAGTTTTTTTGGGGGCTGAATGGGCACAGATTTCCACAGACACACTCCAAAATCTTGTGGAAAGACTTGCTAGAAGATGGGAGGTTGTTATAGCTGATTTTTTTTCAGGCTAGCAACATTATCTGAGAGTTCACAAAAATATCTTCCTGCCAGATATCCAGTAACGTAAATTTTAAATTTGAGATTTGAATTTGACATGGTATCAGCCTCCTGCAGTCAGTGTGCAGAAAAGCTCTAACCAGCACAAGAATTCAATCAGTTGTGATGTAATACTCATGTGCTAACAAGGAACATGCAGAAAGGAGGGAGGAGAGAGTAGAGTGATGGAGGGAAGAGATCATCAGTGCGCTGCTTCTCCTTTCATTGCCCATTCACCTGCTGGGGAAGGGATAAGACCTGTGAGAGCCCATTCACACCAGGGTGGTCGCAGATCAGCGCGGCTACCATCTTGCAAGGGAGGTTTGGGGAGTTTTTAATTTTGTTTCAGTGCTGAAACGCAATTAAAAACGCCCAAAACTGCGCTCTTCCATTGAAACCTGTATGGAAACCGCACTGATCAGCCCGGCATAAATAGTGCAGGGAGCAGTTCCTGCGGGGGGGGGGGGGGGGGGCGGTACAGATCTCGCGGACCCTCACGGTCGCATGAACGGTCCCCATAGCAATGTATGGGATCATTCATGTCGGCGGATCCGTGCGGCCGAACCGTCCTGGTGTGAACGGGGCCTAAGTGATGCCTAACTTCAGCAGAAAAAAATTTGGTTCCCTGCCCTTCCAGACACAATTATGTTTTGTGTCAGAACTGTATAAATCTTAGAACAGGATGGACAGAGATACCAATCCTTGGCAGGTAAAACAGCTCCCTTATATGTATTTCACATGTGACTTTAGCTGGAGTTCAGCTTTAATCTCTGGGTCCAGGGCTCAGTATACCAAGTCAACACACCAGGATAAGGATATTTATTTTAAAAAAAAAAGTAACAGCTGTTTTCATTCTGGTCCAATAAGATTTCAAAATTACACTCACATGACTAAACTAAAGGTACTTATCCTTGTGTTAAAGCTTTGTGAATTGAGTTTACTGTCTGTGGTATTGGTATTTCACCAATTTCTGATGAGATAATGGAGCAAACCAAGCCAGTCTCTCCGTTGCAGCTAAAATGAATGGATGATTTTCTCTCATTTGTTTTTATCGCACTAGAATAGAGTGCCTGCATGTATTTACACAAATGACTCTGGGAAATGTATTTGCGCACAGTCATGTGACAGCATATCCCATCTGGCAGTGAAATCTGGGAATGATAAGACTGTCATGTGTAACGATAATGCCATATTAACGAGTAGCCGAAGGCTGCGGCAGCCCAGCATCTCAGCCAGTGACATGACATCTATTGTATTTATATCCCTTTGACTTTTCTTCATATTACTGGATGATCTCTTCCTGATCCACACCATTTATTGAGACGGCTGTGCAGATTTCAGATGTCACTGTCACTATCGTAAAAACTCTTATAAAATTTCTGATTTTTCAGTCTTGTAGCAAAAAAATGTGGCAGTTTAAAAAAAAAAAATGTATGTGTTCATATACAGCAACTGCATATGCCTGCTTCACTCTGTGTACATAGCTGGCATATGGTTTTTAAAAATACCTCTGCATAGGTGAAAATGGGCTTTAAAAGAGAACTATGGGGTAAGTGTTTTTCTCTTAAGGGTCGCGGGAGGACATATACTATTTTTTTATTTGGATTGAGTGAGGGAGGGTCAGACACTCTTCTATTTCTGTGTTGTCTTTGGAGAGATACAGAACATAAATTGAGGGAAACACAAAAATTGTACAAAATGTTACAGTTGTCACCTGTACAAGAGTAGAGGAGATATCGTTCAGCTGTTCTACTTGCTCCCACCTCTGATAGTTGTTACTGGAACAGTTTTTGTCACTGGAAGAAATACCCTCAAATGTCTCATCTTTACAGCACCAGAAGGACCAGTGCTTTAAAAAGAATTCACTACAAAATGTTAACATAATCTGATGTGAATCTTGTTTTATTCCAGGTAAAATGACACCTATCAGCCTGGAACCTTGTTTATCTAACTACTGCTGTCAACCACCTAAAGATATGAGAAAGTCACTTCACACGGAGAAAACATGGAGTCAAAGGAAAGGCCAAAAGATTTGGCCTGACTGTGACCTCCTTCTCGAAACTGACATAGATTACATAATCCAGGTGTGTAAAGGTTTCATGCTCACCTCTGAGCCATTGTTGGCTTTATTGTTTGTGTTGTGTGTCAACCAAATATATTCCAGTTTTTTCTGTAAATGGCCTATAACACGTATGGGGTTACCCTCATGTCAGCATCCATTTTGTTCTGAGGCTGGAACTCATCCTGCTTTAAATATTAGTTAGTTTGTATTAGGGATGTCTAGATACCAGTTCAGATACCCAGATACCAGTGCCGATACTTGGCAGTTTCATGAGAACTACCAGGGTTGCAGTGGTTGCAGCTGGGACCTAGCTCTGGCGCTCCACCTCTCTCCTGAAATCATTCGTCTGTATTGTTTTAGAAAAACGGTCACATGACAATAAACAAAAATGCATCAGTACTTGTATCTGTGAGTACTTTGGCAACTATCAGTACTTGTACTTGCAAAAATGGTATCAGTGCATCCCTTTATATATGTTTATAAAAACAAAATCATACATTAAAACAGAGATGTACAAATCCCAGGAGCTCCGTGTGCTCCTTACAAATGACAGCTGCCTCCTAACTTTTGAATTTTTCTCTAGTCTAGTCTTGGAGGTCGAAAAGTATCTGTACTTGTACTTGTATCGAGTACGGTACTTGGTATTGGTGCATCCCTAGTTTGTATACTCCTACATATTTGTACATACTGTACATGTTTCTTACATACACAATATGGTCAAAGGTTTGTAGACACCTGACCATCACATCAGCTATATATGGCCAACAGTATGTGGACGCTCTTCCAAATGATTGAGTTCAGGTGTTTCCAGTGAAGGGTACTATTAATGCTAGAGCATACAAAGACATGTTAGACAATTGTGCAGTTCCTACCTTGTGGCAACAGTTTGTGGAAGGTCCTTTTCTGTTCCAGCATGACTGTGCCCCTGCACACAAAGCCAGCTCTATAAAGTCATGGTTTGACCAGTGTGGTGTGGTAGAACTGAAAAGAGCCTGAACCCGAACCTTACTGAATACTGTTTGGCTGAGTTGGAATCAGATCTTCTTATCCAACCTCAGTACCTGATCTCACACTCTGAAATCTTGTGGAAAGCCTTCCACAGGAGTGGAGGCTGTTATAGCTTCAAAGGGGGGGGCAGCTCCATAATAATGTTTATGGTTTTGGAATCAGAGGTCTAACAAGCTGTGTTGGACAGATGTCCATTAACATTGGTCCATATAGAGTACTTGTACTACGTAACTTAATAAGAAAATACTAAGAATATTTATTTAAAGAGACACTAGATTGGTTCTGGTCAAAATTATTTAGTTTTTTTAAACTAATGTTTTATGTTTTGTAAATTGTTAGAATAAACAATCCAAATAATAATCCAAGACTGTAAAGCATGTTGGACTTTGTAATAAGAAAGCCTAGCATTGCCTGCATCCTTTTGCCAGCCATTCTAGACTAACTAATTAGGACATTCATGTCTCTACTGGAAAAGGAGGTTGTCTGTAATTCAGATGTGTTGCTGGCTGCAAGTGGTGCATAATATTAAAATATTCATAAGTAGTATTTTATATTTACTGAATAAATAATGAAGAATATACGGTATATAGTACTGAGCACAATAAATAAAACATATAAGACACTGAAACTTTCCTTTGATGCATCCTTTAATGCAGCGCCCACAGCCACCTAGAGCCTAATGTTTTCCCATCATTTGTCTTTCCATAATAAGGTGAAAAAGATCTTTTCAATTGTTAAACTCTCCATGGAGGAAGTTGAAGTTTACAGCAGGCATTTTAACAAGTTCTGCTCCATGGTGCAAACTGCGGAGAACGTGAAAGCCAAAATATCCAGCGCTCAAGCTAAGCTGTCGCCTGAGGAATACCGAAACATTCTGGCCATGTTTAAAGGTTTCATCAGTGGCTGCGAACAGATGAATATAGAGCGGAGAGTCCGTGCTGTTAAAGTGAAGAGCTCAGACTTCAAGGCAGCCTGTCTGCAGCATCTGCAATTAGTTGTCGATATTATTCAAGCCTCGCTGCCCACTATCGCCTACGCTAAGAACATCCAGCTTCTGGAGGTAAGTACTGTTCACCCACTAAGAGGCATGTACATTGTTTCCTCTAGGCTACGTCTCTTGTCCCAGCAGAAGTTTTACAACAGACATGGCTTGTGCTACATGGTAACCCCAGAGCTCTCTGTATCTCCTCTGTCATTCTGTCCTTTATTAAGACCCATGTCACACAAGTGATTTTGTAGAAAGTGATTTGTAGCAGCTACAGATTGACCCTCCTTATGTTTTTTGATGCTAGGAAAAATGAAAGGTCTTTGTTTCAGAAATGTCAAGTGATTTGTAGCTCAGCCACTGAGTGAATGTATTCATGAGAGGCTGGGAGCAAAGCCGAGTGTTGTTACTCCCGTACACATGCTCAGGAGTAACATCATCATTGCTGCCCCATGGCTGAAGAAATAAGTTGTTAGATGCAGAAGAAGTGGCGGAGAAGATGGCAACTGCGGCAAGCAGCATTCCAACAGGAAGGTTGAATCTGTCAGTGCTGTGCATATTTGCATATTATGACAAGAGCTCCCATGAACCCCCCTTCCTCCCCAGCACAGTTGCGCTTTAATGCCGTTTCCACCAATAGCACATATTCACCTTCCGTTCACTCATCCGCCACATTTTCCAGGAGAAAAGAAAGGATGCCCTGAGTAAGATTACGATTCAGAGTTACACTGATGGGTCTCTTTCAATCCCGTGTGATGGTGTGGATGCCCCATCATTGGGAGGGAGGATAGGGAGGTTGATTCACATTCTCCCCCTTACCCAGAAGTACCAGGTATTGTCTTCCTTCCAACCAGCTAAACTGACTGGCGGGGTAGTAGGGGAATGTTGTATGACCAGGGGTGCCCTCTTACCTGGGGTCCGGCGGGTCTGGCAGAGATTGTAGGGTCCTTCTTGGGTGATTTGGTGCCTGCGTGACGTGCGTGCCTGATGTGCGCATGTGAAGCTGCCGTGGCTTATTAGTCGCCTCGGGTGCTGATCATTGCCAGGGAGGGCCTTGCAAGCACTCCTTCTCTCCTAGCCGCCCCATTGGTTCCCGGGGACCTGTGGCTTCCTTGTTGCCCAGACAACAGGGGCGTCGCTGGCCCCTGCTGGGTTTAAATTCCAGCCAGAGCCAAGACTTGTTGCTGAGTTATTCTGCCATACCCAAAGCAGCTACAAAGCCTCATTTCCTGTTTCCTGCCTTCCTTCCCCGCTATTTGGATCTCCTGGTTATCGACCCCTGGCTTGTCTCCCCGTTTATGATACTCGCTGCCTGCGTCGACCTGGACTGTACTCTGACAATGCATTTTGGATCATCCTATCTTGTACGTCAGCCTGGACTCTCCTTCTGGTATTGTTCTCTGCTATTGGGTTCCACTCCAGCAAACAGAGGGACGATGCTCCTTCCCTAACAGTATACACTGCTGGTGGGGCCACCATTAAAGAGACTCTGTTGCTTTGCCCTTCCTGGTCAAAGAACAAGTGCATTTGAAAACTCATGTTGGTACCTTTTAGTTTTACACATTATTGTAAAGTGAGTTCTGTGTTGTAATTTAAATTGAGGAACCAAGCCACCCTTCCAGTATCATACACATTTTATCTACATAAGTTTAAAAAAATAACCATGGAAAGATTTAGAATGATTAAATCTTTAGGAACATTACCAATGCTGTTAATTGTGAAGATTTGCTCAAGCTGCTGTCTAGGGGTATTTCACAAGTGGCTAATTTCATATGGAGCTAGTTGAGAGCCAAATGTGCCCGGTTCTCATAAAATAAAGGAGTAACAGCTGTGTTAATTTAGCTGATTTGTATTGGAAAGGAATATATTAGACGAGAATATTAACATTTATCACAGAGTGCTCCACTCACTGGGGTATGAATAATGTAGAACAGTACACAATCAGATCTTCTCTTTAAAAATGTACAATTTTCCTTTGAACATTTATTAATATTCCATACAATCATATTTTGTTAAAAAAAGAGCTGGGGTGTTTAAGTATTGTTCTTGGCAGTGCCTGAAGAGGACATCGTCTTCTGGGTCTATATACACCTTGTTCAATAAAGCAGTGCAAATAATAATGTGCAATCAGGAATAAGTACTTAAACGGACTCCTACTGTAATAACACCCTTTCCAATCAATCTTCCCTACTAAGCTTATAGTAAAAGTGGCCCTTAAAGTGAAGCTGCAAGTGTGTCCAATGTAACAGTAATTCTTCGATGATTGTCTAATTAAAGCTCATCTCCGGTAATTTAACAATCAGCAACTGTACATCCCCCCACACACACATGCACACACCACTACCACCACACACACACACACACACACACAACTCCACGTACCCCCACCCACACAAAGATAAAAAAATCAAATTATACTTACCTGCGTCAGCAGTGGGTGGCCCTTCCTTGTGCACGCAATGGTGCTCAGAATCGGACCGGAACGCACTGCTTATGGTGTGAACTAACCCTAAAGGTGTTCAGACCACTCAAATTCCTCCACACCAAACTCATTGTCATATCTTTAGGGAGCTGATTTTGAGCGCATGGACATAGTCTTAATAGAACAGAAAAGGGTCTTCCCCAAACTTGCCACAAGGTTGGAAGCACACAGTTGTATACAATGTCTGTATGCTTTAGCATTAACTGTCCCCTTTTACTTCACTTGAATTTAACCATTTGGAGAGGTGTCCACATATTTTTGTCCATATATTAGGACAGGACAAGTGCCCAACAACTTTGAACCATATGGTATATGTGGAGTAGCAGTGATAAGTACCACAGGAGAGTCCCAGCAGTCCACAACAGTGGCTTCATCTGTTTAGCATGGATGCCCAAGGGTGATATTAGAGGATATTTTTTTTTCACATCTTTCTAACTTATACAGTGCCTAAATATTTACTGCAATTTTTTATCGCTAAACAGCACATTTATCCTTTTGGTATTAAAGTTATCATCTATAAGTACAACAGATACAGATGATGTGCCAGATAAGTTCTTCATGTACTTTTTTTCATGTTGTATGAATGCAGCAGAGGGAAGAAGTTCTGAAAAGCTAAGAGACACCAAAGAGTAATAATTTGTGAAGCAGGAAATATCATTTTTTCATAGCTCCCTCGTCTGGCTCATAATGATCCACAGGGTCTTACAGATGATATCTTAATATTAATACAGTGCTATTACTGGCTTCAAACTTGATGCAGAAATTCGGTTGAACAGTGTTGGAACTCATTGGAATAAGTTTCTCCCAAATACTATATGGGAGCTATTAAGGAAAAACTAAGCTTAAATATAACAGAGTATTGTTCTAAAATTAAGAAAACGTAAAAGAAGAAAAGTAAAAAATAATAAAATAAATAAAAATGGAAACAAATATATAAAAATTGATAAAAAGTAAACAATCAAATATAAACGTGATAAAAAGTAATAAATAAACACAAATAATTATTAATAATAATTAATCCTCACAGCCCAAACTGAGACACCCACAGGCCACCTGAGGTCCCCCAGCCCACCTGAAACTCCACATAGCCCAACTGAGACCCCCACAGCCTCCCTGAGACCCGAGACCTGAAACACTTAAATAATAATAGTTTCCTCCCAGCTATAACAGATTATTATTGCTGCTGAGAAGGGGGTTATTAATGCTGCCTAGGGATTATTTTTTAATAACTCTTGATACTTAATATTATTTTCGACCCAGTCAGCAATAATATTTACCCCCCGGGGCAAATATTGATAATCTCCACCCAAAGCAGAAAAACAGATTATTATCGTTGCTAGGTAGGGTCAGGTAGGCTGTATGGGGTCCCATGATTTCAAGTGGTGGCCCTACCTACCTAGACTACACACAGGCACTACCCTGAGGCGCCAACATTTTTTTAAGGGGGGGGTGGAATGGGGGGCCCTTCGTGGATTCTTCCACCGGGACCCTGAGGTTTCTAGTTACGCCTCTGCCTCCTATCCTCAGTCTTGAGCTCTATTGCACAATCGAGTAACATTCTTAGCTTATATAGCTACCCAATATTTGAATCAGTCCATGATCTTGGTCACAAACTGAATTGGAGCCACCTTATGAGCAAGAGTGAGGCATGACTTACTGACTAGTTACTGTTCCTAGTTTTCATCCTGTACTTTTAGTTAGAAGCAGCGTAGTCTGATTTGCAGGGGCTGCCAAAACAGAAAGCAAAGCCACAAAGATATAGCAAAGTGAACATATGTGGAAAAAGGAAGAAGTGCTAATGTAACAGACAATTGGTGAGGAACAGCAAATATGATACAGGTAGAGAATGCATTAGATTTGGGTTTCAAGCTGCCATGTTGGATATACTGTTTCTACTAAGATGTGAATATATCTGTACCCTCTTCCAGGTCATACAGAAGTCCTTACAAAGACTAAACCTTGTGCTGACCAACGTGAAAGAGTTTGTGGAACACCTGACATTCCTGGGTCAGATCTCCTCGGATCTTCTAGCCTTCGAAAGACAATATAACACCATCATCCAGCTGTACTCTGTCTGTAAAGACTATGGTATCAACATCCCTTCCGAGGAAACGGCGATGTACCAGAGTCTGACTCCCGGTTTCCAGCAGCTGAAATCCACTGTGCTTTACTGCGAAGCTAAGAAGGACGAGGACATTGTGAAGTTCAGCGGGGATTTGGACACGTATATTTCTAACTTGCACTTCGAGTTAATGGATTTCAAGATCAAAGTAAGTTTATCGCCTGTACTGGTTTTGTACGCCTAATGCTCAGTGCAAGCATTCCATGGGAAGTTTTTTTCTGAAGGCAGAGGCTGCTATAAAGCAGATTAGATCACAGAACATCTCATGCCCAGCAAGTGTTTGTTCTACTTTAACATGCATTTTCTATTCACCTACAGACTAAAAACCAAATGTATTGCAGTAAAACATCTCCCCATCGGGAAAATTGCAGCTCCAAATCAGACTGTCCATGCCATTAAAAGAGGATATTTCCATTATATACGAATTTCCCATGCCTGAATTCAAATACCCCCTACAGATGGGAAATTCATGAAGATTTTTTTTTCCAACCGACCCAGAAATTAAAATACAAATTACGTATCATCTTAAAACTTTTTTTTTTTTAAACAAAAATAGTACAGCTGACTCTAATCCTGGATGAGTCTTACTGCTTCATAAAGCTGATATCAGAAGTGGTTTTACATACAGTAGCTAACATTTAAAAAGGAAGATTTGTAGATGCAAGAAAAATCCCCAGAATTTAAAAGGTCAGTGCACCAAAAAGTGATTTCTGTTACAAGTGGAATTTGGTAGGGAGAGTTTCCTGCAAGATTCTTCTGTCTCTTTTTGGCTTCAGTGCTCCCCACCCTTATTACTTACCGTACCCCATTCCCTGACCACATCTGAATTGCGGATTCTTACAAATCCAGCCAGGAGAGAATGGAGGAGGAAATTCAAACATACAGGTTTCACCGCTGGAATCTCTGAAAGGCTTAAAATGTATCTAAAGTCAAAATATTTAAAGAACCTTTAGGGCATGTTCACACCAATTGCGGTGGTTTCCACAGCGGTAGCTGCTGGAATGTACCGCAATCGCTCACAAAACTTCCCCCTTTGTTCTCCTGGGCGGGAGGGGGTGTGGCGGTGCATTGAAGTCAATGACACCGCAGCCACACACCCCTGCCCAGAGTGCGATCGGACACGTGGCATAAACATTACCTGCATTCCGTTCCACTGCAAACACCAAAAATGCTGCATGCTCTATTTTTTGCGTTTGCAGTGGAACGGAACGCAGGCAATGTGTTGCCATGCATCCGATCGCACTGCGGGCGGGGCGGTCATGGTTTCGGTGCCATTGGCTTCAATGCACTGCCACGCCCCCTTCTACCCCAGAAAGAAGGGGGAAGTTTTGTGAACGATTGCGGTGCGCTCCAGCAGCTACCGCTCCGGAACGCACCGCAGTAGGTGTGAACAAGCCCTTAGATAGAGAGTGGAATATTTAGAACCCCTGGGGACACTTGTGTCAGTAATAATTGTCTAATGTTGGAATTTGTTGTGTGTACAGGACATGAAACTAAGGGAATTCTGCCCAGTGGGATACACATGGCAAAAAAGGTTTTAACTCTTCCCTGCTCTACCAAAAATGGAAACAAAATGGTTTGACTTTAGATATACTTTTAGAAACTGTTACAATTCCATGAGAGACATACAAATTGTTCCCTCTGCCCAATGCCCTCCTGCCCCCTTTGTTCCCTATTAATATTCCCAGCAGTCTACTCCTACTGATTCCTTTCTGTCCCCACCCATCCACAATCTAGTTCCACCCATTTTAACATTTTTAAGCTCAACCAAAGCCTTAACTTCAGTCTTGCACAGTTGTACCGCCTCCTCTGCTGAACTGAAATAGCTTCCTCTGATTTTACTGCAGACGTTGAGCTTCTTATTGTGTGTATTAGAAACTAGAGTAAGTCAGAGAACACCTCCATCATCATCATCTAACTCTATCCTCCCCAGTCTGACAATCCCTGGCCTGCTTCTTTCATTAAATGGATTTCAGTCCATTCAATCATGGAAGCTCAGCATCGTATGTGGTTATCTAGGGTGGTCTGCATGCAAATGCAGCCTGCCTAAGAATGTCCATTCCGCCAGACTGAAGACTAAAAAGAATGCCTGACAATCATCTCAAGAGTTCAAAAAAATGTTAGTAGCTTTATAAATGACTACAAAAAAGTGTGTAAAGCCAACACATTTCAGAAGTCAGGAATCCCGCTTCATCAGGTCTTAATCAATGAACAATAGGACACTGATGGACGCTAAGATCATGGCCCCTCTTTACAATTCTGCTTCTCAGACAGGAGTGGAAATCCTTGGTATGAAAAGATCATTTGTTATTAATGTATTATTACAACATACAACATTTGAACTGGAAAAAAAAAAATATTTCAGGATAAGGGATGCAGCGATACTGATACTAGTATAGGTGCCGATACCAAGTTTTTGGGCGAGTACTTGTACTTGTCCAAATACTCCGATGCCTAGCCTGATACCCAGGCTTCCGTTATCAGGAAGGTAGGCAGCGTGTCATTACACGCTGCCCGGCTTCCTGATTGGCCGAGAAAAGGGCTCCAACTCCCATTTCATCAGGACTTAAAATGCCGACAACTAGGGATGCACCGATACTAGTATTGGTATCTGTGTCGATACTGAGTATTTGGGTGAGTTCTCAATATTATTCCTGATACCGGAATTTGTGATGAAGGAGCTTGGAGCCGGCTTCCCGGCCAATCAGGAGGTCGGGCAGCGTGTAATGACTTGCTACCTACGGCTTCCTAATTGGCCAGAAAGCCAGCTCCATGCTTCCTCGTCACCTGGTGACGGGGAAGCATGGAGATGGCTTCCCTGCTAATCAGGAAGCCAGGTGACAAGTCATTATACGCTGTCCTGCTTCCTTAATGGGACTTGCGGTATCGGTATTCGGTATTGGTGAGTACCGTAACAAAAAATATTGGTACTCGATACTGAAAAACCAGTATACAGTAGGTGCATCCCTAATTAGGAACATTCATTTTTGTCATCATTCTCCAAAACACATACAGTATATTCAGAGACATTTGCAGAGCAAAGAACCCTGCAAATTGTTTATAAATAGACCCTTATGTGTAATGTTAAGTATATCAGGACCATGCTGATTTAGCTTTTTTTTTCTTTTATTGTCTGCCAGAAATAAAATAAAACCTTTTTAAAATCAATAATTGACTGCTAAATTGTTATTGTTACTAAAATGTCAAACAAGCATTATTCCTATTAATTAGGGTGTAACTGAAGCTGTTTTTATTGAATAGAGATGTCTGTAAACCTGATTGTAACTGCCACTGATACTCCCAATATTGCTGTGGATATAACATCAATTTATATCGCTAGGTAAGGAACCCAATTCTCCTAGAAGTCGACACTTTCCCTCGGGAAGCCAAGGAAGTCATTGTCAACTTGTTGGAAGAATTTGAGGTTATTGCCAACAAGGCCCAATGTTACTCCTCCTACCAGGAGCGGTTTGGCAGTTCAATCACTCAGATGAAGGCAAAGTTATTGGATGTGTTGCTGTCGCAGAAGAGCTCTGGAGATGTCATCACCAGCCAGATGCTCAATACCGAGCTCTCTGAGGTTGAGTCTGATTTGAGCTTGAGGAAGCTCCTTTGGGAAGCTAAAGAAGAATGGGCAAGACTGTCAGCAGAGTGGAGACTAACCTCGTTCGAGAGCCTCAACGTGGACATGATACAGCGAGATGTCAATCGGTTCAGCCATACGTTGTTTATGCTTGAAAAAGGTAGTTTATCATTATTGTTTGCAGGTTTTTTAATACTCTTAAAGCACTGCTTCTTTGGCTGACATGATAGTCACAACTGACAAAATTCCAAGGCCCTGGCACCAAAGAGGTTTTTCTGGCTAATAAAGATAAAAGTAGACATCTTGAGCAAAGAACAAATGCAAATGTCACCAGCACTCCAGCACGAAGATTCACGTCAGTGCAAATCCACTTTATTGATAGATGTCATGAAGACAAGTGCTTTCGGGGCCACGCAGAGTCCCCTTCATCAGGCTCAATAATGACAGTCATTATTGAGCCTGATGAAGGGGACACTGCACGGCCCCAAAAGCGCTTGTCTTCATGACATCTATCAATAAAGTGGATTTGCACTGACGTGAATCTTCGTGCTGGAGTGCTGGTGACATTTGCCTTTTTTACTGTATTTTGAGTGGCGCCATCCGCAGTCATTGCAAGCACCTGTTATTTCTGGGATATCCAGTAAGCAGTGCAGCAAGGTATATGGACTTTATATCTTGAGCAAAGAGACACTGTCACTTTGCCCGTGCAGGCACAGGGACAGTGTCTCTGCAAAGGGCACCCCCGACCCTCTTATACTCAGCCTACCAATGCTACCTCGTATCTCATTTCTTCTCTACAGTTGCCGAGAATACCCAGCAGTTTTGGAAATGGGGGAGCATGTGACATGCTTCCCTGTGTTAGTGCCAGGGCATAATGATTGGCTTAAAGAACTGTCACATGACAGGGATAGTGATGTATTTGTTTCTTGGTCACAAAAGGAGAAAAGAGCAATGAGCTGCAAAGGAGCTGAGGCAAGGTGGGTACTTTGCCAGGCATGGGTAAGGTGTAAATGTTTCTTTCAAGTGACCGTATCGGGGTAGGAAAAATAATGGCAATAAAGGTGTACTGCAAAAGACGACACTGTAAACCAGGGGTAGCCAAATTCTTACCCTCCAGCTGTTGTGGAACTGCAAATCCCATGAGCCATTGAAAGACCCAGGCACGACTCCAGGATTGGTAGTTTCACCACAGCTGGAGGGATGGAGTTTGTCTATCCCTGCTGTATACTCTCCTCTCTGGCAGCCTATGTGTCATACCCCCCTTGTGCAGCCTCTGTCTGTGTTTTGAAGTGACTTAAGGGTCAGAGGAAGGAACCATTTAACAAATGTGGATATTACAAAGCAGAGGTTGGAATGGTGGTAAGGTAGGAGACACAGGCTGCTAGAGGGGTTAGTGTTTAAGTGTCTTCTTCTGCAGAGCACCTATTTCTGCATTTTCTTTACCCTGACAGGGTCATTTTGAGAAGAATGTTTGAAAATTTAAACTGGAGAATTACATTACTTCAAGCAGAGAGAGCAGAGATGTGAGAGGGACACAGCAGGCCCCACCAGCTGCATGCTGCCTGCAGAAAACTACAGGAGGGGTCGGAGACAAGACCAGTCACCCTGCACAAGGAGAGAGAGCAGCGGTGACTGGTCTTTGTTATAGGAATCCCCTGACTAGGCAACATTTCACACTAGATTACTGCACAGATCTGGAAGAAAAACACAAAGCTCACCAAGATTCAAGAAGTAATACACATGGCTCTTTTATTTAGACAAAATTTACCTATCCCAGAGTTCAGCTTTGAAATTATATTTACATGCTAAAGGTTGTAAGAGATTTTATTTTCCTACTTTGAACAGCATGAGATATTGGAGGCAAATTCCTCCTAACAACAGCTAACACCAATTGTTAACCTCATTTTAGGACTGCCACCCAATGACGTTGTGACCAGTCTAAAGCAATCCATCTTGGACTTTAAACAAAGTTTACCCATTGTGGTTGCATTAAGGAATCCGTGTCTCCAAGCTCGACATTGGGATGCCATACATTTCACTATTGGTCGAATGCTCACGAGAGACAAGAATTTCACCCTGGGAAATCTTCTGGAACTCAGAGTAAGGTTACCCAAACTAAATCATTTGAGCCAAAAAATGTTGTAGAAAATACAAAAGTGTTATTATGTACCTGGAGAGCAACACCGCCCTTTGAGCTGAGATAATCATTTCCTGAGGACATAATTTATATTAATAATAAAATAAAAATTAGCCATTAGAAATTCCCATTAACAAGCTGTTTTTACTGTTGGCTGTAGAATTTGTTCCCTAATTGTTCATTTCCTTCTCGGCGGATAAACTGGCGATCTAGCCATCACCAGGCAGCAAAATGAGAGGACTGCGCCAGTTAGCATGAGTTTAAAAATAATTACATTAAAAAAATAGGGGAATATTTTATCAATAGCAATAAAATAAGTTGACGGCAGTTTAGATATCAATTATATCTTTTGGCAGAGTAGATCTGAATTTAAAAGCTGTGCTGCCTTAGGCCAGAAAACTTAAATTGGTGTCTGTGAACTGCACATTAATTATTTAATTCAAGCTATGCCAGACAAGCGTGCAGTGGTTTTTCCCCCGGCTATTCTGGACAGGCATAAATCCACATACAGATATGTGGTGGGTACGTTGTCGTGTGTCTGACACAGCTTTCTATGGACCACCGTAGAGTGCTGTGCCCTTGTCAACTTTTTGGCAGTGATATACTTGGTTGCCAGGCAGCCAGCCCAGCAGTGATGTGGTGCCAGTAGAGAAGGCAGAGCCAATACTGCATATCCTATAAAAGGACAGCATTGATGCTTATTTTAGTTTTTTGCAGCATGCAACTAGTCGAACTATTGCTTCAACATCTACATCACATTGTGCAAGCTCATAGCTTGCCAGATCTAGGCGGTGGATAATAGACTGAGTCAATGTCAAAGACTTTAAATATCAGACATGTGCCATTGAACTGGCAGAGTTTAGCAGGCTAGGTTTAGTCCAACCAGTACTTGGACTGTTGTGGATGATTGTCTCTGAGCTGGACAATACTTTGACAATACTTGCAACTTTCATTGCAAGCAGCTTTCTGTGTCTCCACCAGGGCCGGATTCTACGTCAAGGGGGCTTGTGCCTATGAGCACCATTATGAGAGGGGTCTATAGCAGGGTAGGAGTAAAGTCTATAAAAGCAGCATCTGCTTACATGTTTCAGCCCTCCTGGGCCTTAGTCATAGCCACTATGGGAGGGCTGTCTGAGGATGCTGCTACTGCTGTGGACTTTGAGTGTATGAAGTGCACCCACAAAAATTCATCTAAGTACATCACTTGTTTTCAAGCTCGGTCTCTAAATACATTGAGAGGAATTTATTAAACCTTAGTCGTGTTCAGTTCTTTAACCAAGCGCTGAGTAGCGGTTCTGCAGCACTTCAGTTCGCAGCAGCATCTTCACTTAATGCTTTGGCTGCACAGTGCTAAGCAAAATGGCGGAGGATAATATTTTTGACAAATAAATACAATTTTTCAACAAATATTTGGTGTGCTCGTCCACCAAAACATTAAATTGTAGGTTCCCACACTGAATTGTGATTTCCTCCATCTGGGTTCAGGCACCTTTCTCCAGCGCTGCCAGGTGTGCCAATAGTTAAAATGGCCGCTGGTGCTCTGCCCCTCCTCTCCGTCACACTCAGTGCTCTGCATCCACATGAACTAGCGTTAAAGCTCAGCTCCAGCTAAAAATATTTCTTCTCTTTTTTTTTTTCAAATTAGATCTTTCAGCACAAAGATAAAATAACTGACATTTCCACAACAGCAACAAATGAAGCCACCCTGGAGGGGATGCTGAATAAAATTATCGTTCTCTGGAATAAAACTGAGTTCAAGTTAGCAGTGCACCAGTCCGAGCTGTCCGAAATCGTGATTATTGCCTCTGCGGAGGATATTATGACTCAGCTAGAGGAAAGTCAGGTTATTCTCGCCACTGTGAAGGGTTCCCGTTACTGTGGACCGATCAAGGTAACCTTTTATGTTGATATTTAGGATGACAATCCCTGATATTTATATTTCCTTGTTAAAAGAAACGAGCGTGGAGGGTGCTATAGGAAATAGATAGGCTGCCATTGCTGAACCCCTGAAAATGCTGGTTCTATGGCTTTCTCTTGCCATACCCATAGAAAACAATGGTATTTTAATGTTTGAGCGTTTTGTAGAGCGTTCATAGAGCGTTGAACGCGCTACAAAACGTACAGGTGTGAACCAGGCCTTATAGCTACTCTTGTTTACCAACAAAGCCATGCCACAATGCTTTGCAATCAAGTGGCCTTGTTTATCAACAAAACCATCGATAACCTTGTTGGGTAACATTGTGATAAGTGGCTTTGTTAATAAACAAACAATCCTGATCGTGCCAGTGATCATGTGGTACTGTTGATAAACAAAGTCACATGATCACTATGACAATGCAATCATATTAGTTTGTTTTGAAGCTTAGTATTTTTTATAAACTGAGCATGTTTTATATACTTAGTTTTTTGGCACAATAGCAATACCATCAGGAGTCATTTAAAACCACCAAAAATTACTTCCCCATTGGCTCTAATGCATTTTCCTTAACTGAGATGTGTTGATTTAATTGAAAATTGTGTGCAGTTGAGGACACTTTCTAAATCAAGAACCCCCAGTGAAGATCTTTAGACCAGAGACATGGGCAGGGCCGGATATCTCACAAGGCCAATCGGGGGAGCAGGGTGTAGAGGGGCAGCAGGGGAGTGGAATTTCTATCTTCCGACGCCCGGGACATGTAGTTCTGGGCGCCAGGCTGGTAGTTGTTTTTTACATTTAGCCCTGCTTTGATCAAGCAGAGATAAATGTACAGCGGGGAAGGCGCCGCTTGTTTTATACAAGTGATCTCGGTGATGTCGCCGAGATCAATTGCATGCAGCCTGCATACAGGGGGGCGCATTGAGGAACCTGGCATTGGTGCAGCAGAGATAGTAAATTTGGCCCTAAACATGGATAAGTATTTTTCCAGTTCTCCATATGGACTACACTCAAATGGGTGTGGGCCTGCCTTAAAGTGGGACTCCAATTAATATTTTTTAGTTCCCTCTCCAACTGTTAAAAAACATTCTAAGTTCTACTTACCCTCTCCACACTCCAGCACTGTCCCCGGCTCCCTTCTTGGTCCAGTGTCTTAGGTTCTCTTCGGGCAGAGTGACAATCAAAACATTCTGCCCATTTCCTGCAGGTCCAGCCTGTCATCTACACCAAAAGTATAGTTGTCCTTTAAAAAATGTTCTTAAAGATGGAGGATTCCTCACATCCTACGCCTAACCCCAGTTTCTTTGTTGCATGCACTGATTGATGAACTGAAGTCTGAGCAGTGATAACAATAGTTGTCAAGACAAATAATTAGGGGGCATTTATTGATTCTGTAACATGGCAAAGCAGTGATAAACAGGGGCGGTGAGACGATTTGAGAGACACATTTATGACAAGGTTACAAAATGAGTCATCAATTCTTTCTTCAGAAGTAGCACTGCAACCTAATAAAACACGACCTTGACCACTTCCTAATTATGTGACTGTTTAGAGTGAAAATCTGTTGCATCTTCAGTAATAAATCTCTCAGGACATTGCAATCTGTTGCATTTGGCTGCCCAGGAATACAGATGCATTGGACCGTAAACCTGTCGCAAAGACTTTGCTAGAGGTGAGGCGGCCTGATTTGTGACTAATTAGGTAATTAATTTGCTTGATAAATGGCCCCATTTAATTTTTTTATCTTCTTGTAATTACAAAGTTACTAGTGAAATTTGTGCTCCGAGGATTTCTTTTTTTTTTTTTATAACAATTTTTATTGTTGAAGAAAAACGTACATATATATTTGTGCATTGCGAAATCTAAAGCACATTTATACATATAATATCAGTACATACATTGCATTAGCATATATTCGATTAACCTTTTTTTCAGAGGATTTCTTAACAGTTTCACTGAAGATCCATAAGAGATAAACTTTCACAGGTTGGACTGGCGATGTATAGTATAATATTTCAGTTTTGGTACAAATGTGGTAGACTTGTGCGCCGTCAAAAAATTTGTTATTTCGGATATAATTCGGAAACTGCCATTCGGATTTTGGATGCTCCGAAATTCGGAATTTCAGGAAAATTTGTACGAATTTCGATTCGTAACGATTCGAATCGCACATGTCTAAAATGTGGTCACCCATGTATAGTGGAAGTCCCCCCCCCTGGATTTCCACTCGCCCCCACGCAATTTTCACTCGCCAATTGCGAGCGGGCGAGTGGAAATTTTGAGCCCTGGTGTAGGGGATATCTAACTGTAGAATCTGCTGCCCCAATGTACCAGTGAAAGAAACCTAGGGGGATTCAGGAATTTAGGTGAGGAGATTGTGCTCCCAGTTACTCGTGAGCGATCCTACAAAAAAACAGAAATGTGGACTTTCCCTTTAATAGCATTTACTGGAAGTCTTCCTTTAAATGTCTTTTATGAATTGTTTTTTTTTTACTCAGCTCTGTCTTCGATAATTACATTACCCAAAATGATTCCATACAGTGAAAAAATGACATTTACAGCAAACATTTAGGAAGCGTTCTGTGTGCTCATTACACCTACGCAGCTATTTTGAGAGTCATTTGCAATTAATGAATCTTTTAATGTAAAACATAAAATGATTTTATAATTATAACAACATGGCGTATGAGTTTTTGGGGAATAACAAGACTGCCTGAGCAACAATGAACAAAATTAGAAGTTATGAAGGAGGGGCGAAGCTACTCAGCATGCATTTTAATATAGAGAACATCATTTCCTGAGGTGCCAGCAGTGCTGCTGAAAAACACAAAGTATAAACATGAGTTTTTTGGTCGAGAACATAAAATGCTCCTGTGAACAAAATGGTTTGGACCCCCATCAGCCCTGAATCCTGAATATTTAGAAAGGTCACTGGGGTGGCAGAGTTTCAGTTTTAAAGAAAACTGTGCACACATGAGTGGGAAATCTGCATGCCTATTGTATGTCTTTCAGAATGTTGTTGATGAATGGGACAGAAGACTAAACCTTTTTTCCCGTACCATGGAGGAGTGGGTGATGTGCCAAAGAAACTGGCTGTATCTGGAGCAAATCTTCCTGGCATCTGACATCCAGAGGTACTGACAGTTTGCTCAGATGTGTAACAATATTTCCTGCTGGTTAATTGCTGAAGTTATGAATAGCAGGGTCTGGGCATCTCACCAGATAATAAAAGCAGAGCCCTGTTCATTATTATTTAATATTGAAGTTCAGTTGCTTTATTCACTGGCTGGAAGAGTTCCTAAAGTCCAATTGAACTTTCAGTTTAAATCAGCTATGGTGCATCAAAACCAATGGTGTCGCAAATCTTACCATTTGTTTTCTTTCTAAAGCAACAACAGCCTGATTAGAAAAGCCTTTCCCCTGCCAGCATGCTGCAGAGAAGTACCCCTGCTCTCTGTGGAAATAGAGGTCTCTCTGCGGAGGTTTGACACCCCTTATCCCCCTGTGAGTTAGACCTATAGCTCTGCAATCATCAAAGCTCATGCTTCCTGCTGATTAGATAAATATAGCATTCATTTAGCAAAGGGTGTGTCAGACCCCCTTAGATGTGATGGCAACATTAGTTGTCTTTTTTTTAGGCTTTTTTGCCTATATTTTCACCCAGTGATCCTGCTAGATCCTGATTGGCTGGGAAGCCGATTTCCCGGCCAATCAGCATCGAGCCGGCCAAACATGGGGCCGACTTCCCTGGAAATCAGGAAGCCAGGCGCCGTGTCATTACCGGCTGCTTGGCTTCCTGATTGCCTGGGAAGCCAGCTTCATGCCAGCGGAAGCACGGGTATCAGTCCGCGGTATCGGCGTGTACCAGCAACAAAGTATCGGTACTCGATACCGAAAAACTGGTGTCAGTGCATCCCCAGTGACAATGCTCACTTATTGTACAGGGGGACAGGAACAGCCTAAGGAGTCATGTCCTTAGGCTATTAACTCCTTAGTTCCTTAGTTATCCTACAGAACACTCATTCCTATACCATACTAGTGAGTTGTTATGTAGTCACTGGAAGTAATCTAGGCAGGGCTAATAATACTGATGAGTGCAGCAGAGTGTACAGAAAGTTACAAGCTCACTGGATTTCTGGCAGGATTAATGGGTTATTTTGTAGCACTTACAAAAAATATATAACCAATTTCAATTGGTTTCATTATTGTATATTTATTGTATGTTATAATTGAATATTATTATTAATATATATTGTTAGTATTAATAATATTATTATTATTGTATTAGTTTATTTAACAGATCAAAAGAGAGTAGATATGAGAAGTTCATTGTTAGGGATTACATGCATGTTAAATAAAGCTGCTGGTAGCATTCAGTACATTTTACAAAAGAACATAGACTCTGCGCTGCTTTCAGGATATAGCCGTGGCAAGAGTCATGTGGCTCCTGCTGATGTGTGTGGTCCTTGAAGCGTGAGGTCAGCAGATTGTTCAGGCATAGCCACTGACTGGCGGGCTTTGTTTGAACATCAGCACTCAGTACAGAACACATGACCAATGGCATGGCACTAGTCATGTGACTGACAGCCAGAGTGGGCCTGGAATCCCATTTTTCTGAAAATTGGAAGCTTTTATAAAAAATAATGAACTCACAAAGTAGGCAATGCAAAATACTAAAATGATTTGTTGTAATTGCCTTTAGGCCTGCTGTAATGTAATCCATGGGGACTTATACACACAGTATAGATGTTCACTGTCTCAAGTACAAGGAGACAGCTGATCTGGAAAACCTTTCATAGACGCTGATTTCAGTCTTAAACCCTTTGGTGACTGAGACAGTTGATGCAGTAGTCCTAGGGACAAGCCAATCTGCGGATGTTTTGCATTGATGTCATCTTCACACCCTTGCATGTAATTTTGTATCTTCTTTAAAGAAAATTCAGTGTGACACTTTATTGTTCTTTTATTACAAAATAATGCAATTTTTTTTTTTTCTCGGTACATCTTATACTAATATGTATATCAATACCAGTGCGGAATTCAATTGACTCTGAAGCGTGAAACATCCAAAGTATAATTTTGTTCAAAACACAGCTGATCATTCAGTTTCTTTTAGATGCCAGAGAGTTAAAGTTGTCACTGGGCAAAAATTGTGTAAGGCTAGGTTCACACCTGCACTACACCGCACGACACCCGGGACGCGTGTCCCGGGATCGCACGGTCCTGTACAATGCAGGCAGCGATTTCTGCGCGGCCCCATTGATTTCAATGGGGTGACATCCGCGCACCAATCACGAAAAAAAGGTACATGTAACTTTTTTTGCGATGCACGCCGCGTGGCAGTTTTAGTCTTGTTCGGAAGCACGGGCGCAATCGCGGCGGGAAACCGTGTGATCCGCCCGGCGCGACTGGGTGCCATTAGAAAATAATGGCACCCACAGCGTGTTTGGCTCACACTTTGGCGATTCCTGACTGCGCGGAATCATGCACGATTGCCCCGCGGTGAGGTGTCACCTAGGTGTGAACCTAGCCTGAGATGCCAGAGAGTTAACACTGATACTGAGTACAAACATTTTGATTCCTTAATAGCCAAAAATTATATAACTCCACATTGTGTGCACCAAATGCCTGTGCAAACCCTGATATTACCTTGTGCTGCACAGAACCTGTGCAGATAGCTGAGCTGGGGGAGGGAGCCTGCAGGCCCCACCTACTACAGACTGCCTGCAGAAAACCAAAGGGGGGAGTGGATGCAAGACCACTCACCCTGCACAAGGAAAGAGAGCAGCAGTGACTAGTCTATTACAGGAAGCTCCTGCACAGAGACAAAGTACAGAAGTTTTTATTTTCATGCTGGATTACTGCACAGATCTGGAAGAAATACACAAAGGGGACCAAGATTTGAGTAAGAATACTTGAAGAGTATTTGTTTAGCCTGCTGACAGTCCCTCATATCTCTCTAAATTATTACTTTTGGGGGCACTTACTTTTCTATTCTGACTATGACAACATTCTCATTATAGGCAGCTCCCAACAGAGGCCAAGCTATTTGCACAAGTGGACAGTTCCTGGAAAGAATTAATGAACCACACGAAGGATAGACTCAATGCCCTCCGAGCTGCTACTGCACCAGGGGTTCTTGAGATCCTGCAGAATAACAATGCTCATTTGGAGAAGATACAAAAATGTCTGGAGGTAGGTGGAAGGAGCAGGACAATGAACTCACTGGCATGTGTCTGCTGTTTCTCTTGCTGGTGAATCTCAGAATTCACTGTATTTCAAATTGTTACCAGTCCTGAAATCAGTCTCCCTTGCCCAATATCTGGCTGTTGTTATTCCTTTTTGTCCTAGTTACCATATCGGTCAGGTAGCTTGAATCTTGTTTCTTCTAGTTTGCAGTGTTTTTGCTTTGCCCTCCGGTGTCTGTTGAGTCTGACATTATTGATCCACATTTTGTTCTACTGTAGCTAGTATGCCCTAATGTTGGCCACAAAAGGGACCTTTCCTGAGTTGGTAACATAAGGCCATGCTACAATTCAAGCTGGAATGGATAAAAAACAGTGAGCTGAAAGACATCCCCTTCCTGGAGAAGTTGCAGGCTTAGTTTCCCTTCTGTGCTGCCCACACATGCAAAGGCCTAGCCCAGATTTAAGAGCTCCTGGCAGGCTGTACACACATGCGGACACCTTGCAGTGCCTGCTGTCACTATTGCTGCCGATGTGCAACCTATGATCAGAGAGATACAGGTAGGGCTGCAACCAACTAATCGATAATAATCAATAATGAGAATAGTTGTCAACTATTCTCATTAAGGATTAGTTGGTTGGATCCCCTAGCTCTCTCCTCCACGCTGGGAGGAGGGCACAGCAAGCAGCGGCCGGTGGCAATAGCCAGCCTGCTATTGGCTATTGCACTTTAAAATGGCCAATAGCAGGCTGGCTATTGCACCTGCCCACTTCCTGCTGTATTTACATTCAGCTGCCATCTGCGGAATCTTGCCACTTACAGCTGTCATTCCCTGGCTGAAGCTATTCAATTACCGTGTGCTTACAATACAATTATTTGTAAAAAAAAAAAATGTAAACGGTGGGAAAAATTATTTTCGGTTTCAGCCTGACAAATTCTCCTAAGACAAAAACGAGAGGGGCGCCTTCTACTAGTGCAGATACATTTTATTTTTCAATTAGCAATGAGATAAAGTCGATAAATGAATACTCACAAGAGTGGAAGATCACAAGCATTAGGCACAATGTAAAGACGAAAGACGAACTGGTACAGTGGCGTTTCCGGGGCCACTGAGTGGCGTTTTCGTTGGTCCTGACGAAGGGGGCGTGCCCCTGAAACGCATCGACACGTTGGAACACTGATCTGCACATAGGACACATCTGATAGACTGCCACTATACCAGTTCGGCTTTCGTCTTTACATTGTGCCTAATGCTTGTGATCTTCCACTCTTGTGAGTATTCATTTATCGACTTTATCTCATTGCTAATTGAAAAATAAAATGTATCTGCACTAGGAGAAGGCGCCCCTCTCGTTTTTGTCTTAGTGTCTCCAGTCTCCCCGACTGTTTTTGAGCTGCCTCCTGCATAGATGCCATCACATCCACTCTGTCGCCAAGACTATATATGACAACCTCTGGCGCTGCTTTTTTGCATTTTTCTTGTTTATTGACAAATTCTCCTGTTGGAGGTGCGTTGTAGTCCCATTCATTTCAATGGCACCCCAAATGCGCCTCCCACCTACAGTGTGATCGCCCGCGCTGGAACGGACAGTACCGCAATGGAAGTGCAAAACATTGTGCATGCAAACTTTGTTTGTTACACTGCAGTTGTGTATTTTATTTTAAATTAAGGATGGTATTTATTTAATTTTTTTAAATCCGATGAATCGAAAAAATAATCAGCCAACTAATCGATTATTAAAATAATCATTAGTTGCAGCCCTAGATACAGGAGCAGTCCCTAGTCCCTAGTAATTGCCTGGCTGACTGGCAATACTTTTTGCATCAGGTATGCAAGAAATCCAAACTCCTTTTCTGCAGAAAAATCAGCAAAGAGGTTTCGGCATGACAGCTGGGCAACCAGCATTTTCAGGAAGGGCTTAGCAGTGGTATTCGTCTCCTGATAGTTTTTCCCTTTAAAATCGTCAAAGTTTTACTAACCATGACTTAATTAAAATGCTTACAAGGTGCTTTGATAACAAAAACTTGTGTCTTTTTCTTCATGGCAGTATATACCCTATATAAGATATTAAACCATCCCTTGTACTTTGCTTATCTTGTCTAATGTATGCTGATTCTGTACTAAGTAAGAGTTCTGTAATTGTACTGGGCTTTAGTCAGCTCAGAGCGTGAGGTTTGCACAGCTTGCTTTGCCTAAATGATCACAGGATTCTATATTTAATATCTGTGATCATTGTGAATATAGGTAGTAGACCTTAAAGGGAAACTATAGCCTTTGTATATATTTCAAATATGCATATGAATGTGATTAGCCTAAAGCTTTATGTCAGGCCTAGCCCCTTGCCCCCAAGTGTTAAATGACCCCCACCCCAAGAGGTCCCCAATCTGCGATTTCGCGGGTGTGCTCAATTTTAAGGCTTGAAATGTTTGGTGTCTATTTGCCCGACGTGACCCCATCTTTAATATTTTACCAAAAAATTGGGATGATAATAAATGTTTCATATAATTTCATAGGGAAACAGTTTTGTTTTTACAAAATTTAGGGTACTTTTTTTGTTATATAGTAAAAAATAAAAACCGCAGTGGTGATTAAATACCAACAAAAGAAAGCTCTATGTGTCCCCAAAAAATTGTACAAAATTAGTTTCAGTACAGCGTTGCATGACTGAAAAATGGCCTGGCCAGGATGGGGGGTGTAACACCCCGGTCTTCAAGTGGTTAATCTTGGAGAATTGTGCCAGTAGTTGGGATTTAATGTAAATAAGGGAAGGATGTTAATGCTTTAAAAACATGTTATAATTTGTAACTATATATGTACATGGAGGAAAACATATTTGCTTGTTGCAGACTTAGCTTCCTGCTTAGTAATGATGCACCGTGACTGTGCTTCTCAATGAAAGTCTGTAGGTCAGGTCAGAACTCATGTTCTGATATAAACCCAATCACTTCCATGTGATCTAAGCTTTAAAATGTTCATGTCATTTCAATAGTTCTTTTTAATCTTTTTAAACTTGGATATGACATTCAATTGAGCAGTCTGTCCACATGCCTGCAGTCAGCCCTCCCTACACTATCTCTAGGAACTCCAAAAGCTTCATGTAATACCATTTCCTGCATGACAGAACTCAGGTGGCATGTCCTTCAGGCCCGGGCTGCTGTAGAAAGGATTGGATAGTGCTGGACACCATCCGGCCCAGAAGTACCTCAGTGATCACGGGCTGCAATGCAAACGTACGCTTTGTCTGTGTGGAGCACAAAGTATGTAGAGGAACACCACAGGCTACACATTTAATGCAAGTCAATTCCACAACCCAAAATCACTTCTGTGGTGAGACTGGAGTTGGGCTTTAACGTTTTAATGTAAACAGTTAAAAAATAAAAGCATCTTTGCTGAGCTGCATAATATTTCCTTCCATATGGCACAACAAATGGTCCGTTACTTCTTCTTGTGCCACTACATTACACTTAATCATACCAATCAACACAATTTAATTATTACTATTAACTGCAAAACTTCTGTCTTTCTAAAGGAGTTTAGTTGGAAAGCTGGCAGCATGGAGGTGCGGGGGTCCTGGATTGGGTTGCACAGGAGGTGTCCATCAGTCCCCTTGCCCTCGACGTTGCTCACCATGTTCAGTTGGTGGTTTGTGACCTGCAAGTTCTTTTTTTTAGGACTTTCTAGAAATTAAGCGGAGAGTTTTCCCAAGATTCTACTTTCTCAGCAATGACGACCTTCTGGCCATCTTGGCAGAAAGCAGGAATCCCAATGTGGTCCAGGTAAACAACCAGCAATCTAGCACACCACACTTTCTTTTCCTGCAGCACATAAAATGAAAAAGTCCTTACATGTCACACTGAACAGCCATTTAATTATTTTAAAGCTGAACTCTAGGTTGATATAAGTACAGCAGGACTAGAGTGTGAAAGGAAGAAGCAGCACGACAAGACGCCAGTCAATTCATGTATAGACAAGAAGCATGCTGATAGAGAAAACGAACTGACAGAGATGAGCTCATTCACTCTGCTGCATCTCTTTCACTGTCCAAATATCAAGACGTCACCCGCACTCCATACAGCATTTAGACCTTAACGGGAGATTGGTGCTTGAAGTGACAACACGGATGGCGCCGTGTCGGATACAGTTCATAACAGAAGTCACCAGCACTTGAGGATACATGCAAGAAGTATAGGCACTTTTTATTGGGTTGTCACATGCGTCATACAGCTGACGTTTTGGGGCCACACAGGATCCCTTCTTCTGGGCAATAGTCTATAAGTTTCCCAGAAGAAGGTGGCCCTGAAACGTCGGCTGTATGATGCATGTGACAATTCAATAAAAAAGTGCCTATACTTCTTGCACGTATCCTTGAGTGCTGGTGACTTCTGTTATGGACTCTTTCACTTTCCAGTCACAGGGTGCAGGCGGGTCCAGGACAACCTGAGCTCAGAGGAAGGGGGTTGAATGAATTTGGCTATCAGATCCAACCTGAGCTCAGAGGAAGGGGGTTGAATGAATTTGGCTATCAGATCCAACCTGAGCTCAGAGGAAGGGGGTTGAATGAATTTGTCTATCAGACCGAGGACATCTAGGAACAAAAAAACAAGCGCTACATGGATAATTTCTTGACTGGTGCCTGAATATTGCAGCAAAGCTGATTTTGTTATTTTATCTTTTCATGAACTATTCATTGTTGTTATTTGTGGCTGGAGTTCTGCTGTAAAGAAACCATTCATGATTGAGCTTAAAGTGTATCTAAAGCATCTTCCACCGGGTATATCCCCCTTAGCCCCAGTGGGGGGATTCCTATGGTTCCCACGGGGAAAACCTAGCCTACCTAGGCTGCTGGGCTGGAGATGGACAAGTGAGCCTTTCTAAATTCTTGCATGGGACCACGCGGCTGTCTCTCGCGGAGATTATCGCACTTTGTCCATGCACTGGGGTCCCGGATGCGGCCTCTTGACTCTCTCACTCCATTCGAGGGATTGTGTAACGACTCGGGACCACCCCCCAGGTCCCTCTCCCTGCTATATAAGCGCAAGACTCCCCTGGGTCTCCCTGCTATACTGCAGCAAGACTCCCCTGGGTCACTTTACTACCTGGCTGAGTGGGAGAGGGACATGGGGGTACGGTTCACGGAATCGGCCAATATCCTTAAATATACTCATTCCTCCTCCGTGGACTCCAAAGTCCAAGAAACAAATTATAAGCTACTCACCCGGTGGTACCGCGTCCCCCATGACCTGCACCGTATCTACCCTTTGGTGTCCCCACTTTGCTGGCGCAACTGTGGGATGATAGGCACTCACCTACACATATGGTGGGATTGCCCTAAAATTCAACCCTTTTGGCAAAGGCTTCAGGCCAAAACTAAAACACTCCTAGACATTGAGATGCCTTTCACACCGGCCCCCTTTCTGCTTCACTCCGTGCCTAACACTGTGACTAGATACAAATCCAGCCTTCTTCCTCATCTCCTCAATGCGGCCAAACGCTTGATCCCCCGCTACTGGAAGAAAACATCAGTTCCCACAGTGGAGGAGTGGAGCGGACAGGTATTGGGCATCCAGGTTTCCGAGGAATGGCTGGCCACAAGTAAGGACAGGTACGCTAAATACTACTCCATCTGGGCCACCTGGATCCATCGCAATCCTGTATAGAAACTTATTGTTAGGAGAGTCATATTGTTTTATTGATTTGTCTGATTACATCACCCTGATAAATTCGAGAGCGAGCTGGGAATGATTGTTTTCCGAGGCCACCTGAAGGCTCATATGATCCTCACTCTAGCTGCCCACTTGCGTTAGCGGACCAAGGGTACACTCCCTCCTTCCTCTTTGACTTTCTTTTCTAATCCCCACCTTCTCCTGCCTCCCCTCCCTCCCTTTTTTTTTTCTTCTCCTCCCTTTCTTTTTTCTTTTTTCTCCACTCCGGAAGCCACAACCTGGTAATTTTTGTATACAGCTCACTGTCTATAGGTTCTTGGTTAAACATTGCCTGCTCGCAAGGCCGATTTGGCAATTAGCTACATTGACTTCTGATGCTGTTATGTCTGTATGTCTGTTGTCCCACAACTGCCTCTTCGTGCTTCTTATTGTTTCTTATTGAAAAAATGAGAAATAAAGAATATATAAAAAAAAAAAAAGTGTATCTAAAGCAATTTTTTCAGTCTTGAAGAGAATAGTTAAAACCTAATTTTCTGCCATGTAGCCTCACCTGGTGAAGTGTTTTGAGAACATCCGGCACCTGGACATTAAATACCCCGTAAAGAGCCCCCCTGAGGTGGAGATGATTATATCTGCGGAAGGAGAGAAAATCTGCATGCCTAAGTACATGTGTTTTCATTAGTCTTTGTCATTACCAGGAACGCAGTGTAACAGACACAGTCTAAATAACATTGTATTTATGCTTTGCATAGGAATGTTCGAGTCAGGGGCCCGGTGGAGCAATGGCTGGGGAACCTGGAGACCAGCATGTTTGATGTGGTAAAAAAGTGAGTGTTGACCTATTTTTTAAGAGCGATTATCAGACATTTTCCATAATGCCCCAGCAGATGCCTGTCCAGAATCGTGGATCGTTATTTTACATTTACTTTTAGGAGCCTTTTTTTTTTTTTAAAGAAGAAATCTGGGAATTGTAAAAACTTTCCATTGCAGTAAGGCTGCCCCCTGCACTGTAAGGGTTAAGTGCTTGTTTTTCTTTAGGGGATGGAATAAGGCAGATATACTTGCCTTATCTGCGGTCCTGCTGGGCTACTAGACAAGTTAACCCTTGTATTGAGGCTTCCCCCATACTACAAGGGTTAAGTGTTTTGTCTAGGGACTAAAAATAAAGGAAGAAATACTAACCCCATCCTCGGCCCTGCCTGGCTGCTAGACCGGTCTGTGCATCATCTTCTCCCCTGGGCTCCGGCCGTCTAAGGACTGCTAACGTCATCACCTCTAATGCAGGTCCATTGACTTGCATTAGATGTGAGTACGCGGAAGGACATCTCACTGCCGAAGCGGTGTTTGCAGAGAGGTGAGTGCGCACCGCTATGGGACCAAGGATCAGGTTCATATATCTGCTTTATTCCATCCCCTAGAGAAAAACAAGCACTTGCTTTATGGGGGTAGCCCAACTGCAAGGAAACATTTTAAAATGCCTGGAGTTCTTCTATAGATATCAGCCCCCCAGTAAAGTATTAAACAGTCCAGAGGCAGTGCTGCTCCAGGCCGGTCCACCTTTATCTGCTTAAGTGGCGGGTGTTTAGTTTGCCTCTGGTAAGTATAATGCGGATAAACAGATAAAAATGCAGCTTCTCTATTCATTCAAAATAGGCATATCAGGATACATCAGGAAGGACTTATCATATGCGTTTCTCGCTAACATGCTGTAACTAAGTGCATGTTAGTGTAAAACGCGCAAGTTAAGTCCTTCCTAATGAATCCTGATATGCCTATTTTAAATAAATAAAGAAGCCACATATGTATTTTGAATTGCCTGAATCCATATATTCACATCATAAAGTATGTAAAGGTCTTAAAAGACATTATAGGAAACATGCCAGGATAACCAATCACAGCCAAGGTTGTCTTTTTTTTTTTTCATAAAATCGTGTTTATTTTGGTTCAACATTGAAAAATCAGAGACAGAAAAGAGCAGAAATATTTACATGAGTAGTGTACAAGGGGTCTGCGTGCGGCAGCAGGTATGCGAGGAGAACATATTCAGTCTATATACACATCCTCTCTAACAATGTGGGGTACTAAGGAGGGTTCAGCTTTCACATTGGGTGTATTGTGCGTTCTCCTTCTTACAGGACATCTCCCAGCTGCTGTGAGAGATCTTCAGGATCCAGAGAGACGATGGCGGATCAGACTGGAAGGAGATCTTCTCTATCTGTCTGTTCTGTACAGCAGTGCTGGGGCTGTTGTCCTCCTGTAAGATTTTCAATGGTTGCACTGTTCTCCTGCCGGGAATAGAGCCACTTGCTGCACTGGTTTTTCAGGCTAGCTTCTCACCTATATGTTACAGAATGTTCAGCTCATATACCCATTGCATTACACTGTCATTCATTTGGAATAGAGCCCCAACATACTGTATATTTACAGAAGATGGTAATGCAGCTGCACTACGGTGCACTGCAACACGTATGTTGCAGGTTTTTTGAGGTGCGCTGCTAGCTTACTTTAAAGAAGAAGTCCTGGCAGAAATGATCCAAACCTCAGACCCGGCTGGCTGTTGCCTGCAACCTTTCTCCTACTCTGCTCCGGCCATGGAATATCCCTTGGCATCCTCGTGTCCAATATATTGTATTAGATGTGATGCCTCAACCTGCCTCCAAACTGAAAGTGCCCATACAACATGTGCCTGTAAAGAAGAAGAAAATTAATATTTATCTTTACTGCCTCTTGCATCGCTTAAAGCCAGTCGGTTTAATAGAAATAGCCGGCTAAAGTAGTGACATAAGGGTCAGCGGGGGGAACCAATTAGCATTGTGGGGGAACAGAAGATCGACACTGCCAATGATTTTTCTTCTGCAAATTTCTTCATCTAAATCTGAGAACTTATACATCATACAAAATTACCAGTGATACCTGTTTTTATTACTAATCATTACAGTCCTGTTTTCTTGCAGACTGGTCAGGGCTGGAGTACAGGATTGGGGAAGGTCTGTCTTTAAGGAATGGATGCTCAACCACCCAGGGCAGGTTGTCCTTGTTGTGGTAGGTACAGTTAACATGAACTGTTGCCCATGATGTTATTTTTTAGACAGGAGTAACAAAAACAAAACAGTTTTAAATCAATGAATAGCATTGCCTATAGGGTTTGTATTTAAAGGCATAGGAGCGTTACTAAGAATGTGCAGAACCTTTGCTAGGGTTGCGTTCTTCAACTAAACCCCCAGGTAGCTTGTTCTCACAGCTGTTTAGTAAGAAAACTGACAGACCTCCGTGACAGGTTGAAGTACGTCCTTTGGGATGGCAAAGCTGTATAGGAAATATTACAATAAGCTATCACACAATAAACTACTATCACTTCTCTGTGGTCCTTGGTCATAATTGCTGATAGATAGATAGATAGATAGATAGATAGATAGATAGATAGATAGATAGATAGCAATGAGATCCTCCACACACTTGTATGCTGAGGGCTGACCACGGGACCTGAAGGGCCTGATTTGATAAATACATCAATTTGTCCTAAAGTGTGAGGGGGCACGTAAGGGGTGCAGTACTTTATCATTTCAGTTACCCTCTAAAGTGGAGAGGGATTAGAACATCTGTCAGGTTTCTATTGTTGTCTGTGTCCCCGTTAGGGAGGTTCACTCTATTTCTCCTGGTGACCATGATCAGTGAAAGTAAAAGAAAATCCCAAATTTTAGGTTGTCATCAGAACAGGAATAGATGGGAAATCTTCCAATGGGAACACTAGTTCTAGTGACCCTGCTCACTGACAGGGTCTTCCCTCATTTTGTAGGGATTTTCTTTTACTTACTGTTGTGGCTATTAGACACGAAGTGAAGGGTAATCTCCCCCAGTGGGATACAGATGGCAAAAAAAAGCTGACATGGGTTATAACTTGAGGTGCACCGAAATGGAAATTTCAAAACCAAACGAAACCGAAATAAAAAAATTGTCAGGCCGAAACCAAAAATGTTTTTTATTTTAATTGTTTAAAAAATTATAAATATTGTAATTTATAAACTTTTAATTTTTTTTATTTTTAAATTCATTTTTTATTAAATATTTTTATTTTTTACTTTACTTTTAGGGGCTTCTGGGAAATATTAGGGGTCTAAACAGACCCCTGATATTTCCCTTTTAAAATAGAAAAAGAGATTGAGAACACAGAGTCCTTCATCTATTTTTCTGTGTCCCCTGTTATCAATGAACAGGAATCCTCTATGAGTGTTCCTGTTCATTCATAACTTGAGAACATTGTGTGTTTACTGTAACTACAACTATGAATGAACAGGAAGTGATGTAGATCACGTCCCATTCATTCATAATTGAGGATATAGTAACCAGACCATGGCCTCAATTATCTACACTCAGCGATCACTGATTACCGCTCTCCTTCCTGACAGCTGTCACAGGAGGCTGAGCGAGCGGTGCAGGGAGGAGAGCTCGGCCTCCTGTGACAGTGCGGGCAGTCTCCGCCCACACACCGCTCTACCGGACTGTGAAAGGAGGCTGAGCGCTGTGGGAGGAGAGATGCCGGCCTCTCACAGCGCCCTCCTCATGCAGCGCTCGGCCGGCTGTCACACTTTCCCTCCTCCCCGCTGGCACACAGAGCAGCGCCCAGCGGGGAGGAAAGAAAGCAGGGATGCGCGATGTATCGGCACAAAAATTGCACTTTCGGCATTTAGCCAAAAGTGCCATTTTCGGCCGATATGTTTCGGTGGCCGATATATCGGTGCATCCCTAGTTATAACCTTGCCTTACTCTATTCAAAATGTAAAAAATGGTTTCAACTGTATACAGTTTGACATGATACAAGATTGGATTGTTCTGGCAGGAATGCCAGAAGTCCACATTCAGATGCAGCCACTGTACCCATTCAAGTACATGAGAAGGTGATAGCAGCTGCATCTGCCAGCATATAATCAAACATGGTCCGCATGTAATCGTGCATGATTATATGAAGATTGCTGCTGTCATCCTGTCATTAACTTCAAGGGGTACAGTGTTTGTATCTGCTGTAGGAATCCATAACTTCTTGACACAGGAATCGCAGAATGTGGCATGTGTCCCCATGTGAACGAGGTCTTAACAGAACATGCTAAAGATAGATTGATTACTATGCACAACTGCTCCAGATTCTGTTTGCTCCAGTTTTAGTAAATTCGCCCATTATATAGTGTTTTTGCTAAGGCTAAATTTTTTCTTATTTTAGAGCCAAATAATGTTCAGTAAGGATTGTATGAGAAGTTTTTCTGCCCCGGAGCCAGAGAAGGAGCTAAAGATCGTCCTGTCTAATCTAATAAATCAGCTTGGTGAACTGGCTGAAATGGCTCTGGATATTCCCCTCCCTCACCAGAAAACCACTCTGGAAGCCTTATTGACCATCTACGTACATTGTAGAGATGTTCTGACTGAACTGATAAAGAACAGAGTGTTCTTCCCAGAAGACTTTGAATGGACAAGGTATGTTAACTAGACCTTGGTTGGTCAGCAGCATGGATAAGTGGTTAGCACTCTTGGCCTGGATTTGTGTTCTACTAAGGACTGTGTGGAGTTTTTATGTTCTCCCTGTGTATCCATCAGTTTCCTCCAGTAATTCAGAGACATACAGGTAGATTAATTGGCTTCTTCCCAATCTGGTCAAAGTGTATGGTTGTGTTGTGGGCATTACACTGTAAGTGGGGGTGGATGTGAATGGTTCAGAATTCTCTATAAAATCTTCTGGGAAAATGGTCAGTGCTTTACACATTAATAAAATCAATTTATAGGGCTGTGAAATCACACTTTAAGACCTTTGTGATCAAGGACAGGCTGCCCATCGATGTGATGATCATCAATGTAAATGTTGCAGATGAAAGCTTAACTCCAAGCAATGACACAATTACATAGTTGCAGTATATACCCTATATTACCAAACGTATTGGGACACCTTTACACGCACATGAACTTTAATGGCACCCCAGTCTTAGTCTGTAGTGTTCAATATTGAGTTGGCCCGCCCTTTGCTGCTATAACAGCTTCAACTCTTCTGGGAAGGCTGTCCACAAGGTTTAGGAGTGTGTCTATGGGAATGTTTGACCATTCTTCCAGAAGTGCATTTGTGAGGTCAGGTACTGATGTTGGAGGAGAAGGCCGGGCTCGCAGTCTCCACTCTAATTCATCCCAAAGGTGTTCTGTCGGGTTGAGGTCAGGACTCTGTGCAGGCCAGTCAAGTTCCTCCACCCCAAACTCGCTCACCCATGTCTTTATGGACCTTGCTTTGTGCACTGGTGCGCAGTCAATTTGGAACAGGAAGGGGCCATCCCCAAACTGTTCCCACAAAGGTGGGAGCATGCAATTGTCCAAAATGTCTTGGTATGCTGATGCCTTAAGAGTTCCCTTCACTGGAACTGAGGGGCCAAGCCCAACCCCTGAAACACAACCCCACACCATAATCCCCCCTCCACCAAACTTTACACTTGGTACAATGCAGTCAGGCAAGTACCGTTCTCTTGGCAACCGCAAACCCAGACACGTCCATCGGATTGCCACACAGGGAAGCTTGATTAGTCACTCCAGAGAACACGTCTCCACTTCTTTAGAGTCCAGTGGCAGCGTGCTTTACACCACTGCATCCGACGCTGCGCATTGCACTTGGTGATGTAAGGCTTGGATGCAGCTGCTCGGCCATGGAAACCCATTCCATGAAGCTCTCTACGCACTGTTGTTGTGCCAATCTGAAGGCCACATGAAGTTTGGAGGTCTGTAGCTATTGATTCTGCAGACAGTTGGCGACTTCTGCGCACTGTTCGCTTCAGCATGCACTCACAATGCTCTGTCATTTTATGTGGCCTACCACTTCGTGGCTGAGTTGCTGTTGTTCCCAGTTGTTTCCACTTTGTTATAATACCACTAACAGTTGACCGTGGAATATTTAGTAGCAAGGACATTTCACAGAACACCGGAATCCAATGCTTTGGAGGGGTGTCCCAATACTTTTGGTAATATAGTGTATATGTATATCATCCTGTCCATGTGCACCTTATGTTACGTATAAAATTAACTAATTGGTTGCCATTTCTATTTTGCTTGTATTTATGCAGATATACACTAGGGGTCTTCAGCTGCCATTGAGTTATGCTGGGCTCCTGGTGTGTTTTTGCACCTTAAGGGACTGTTCAAATCCAATGCATTCAGGTTGTGTTGCCATTTTCCCCAGTGCAGCCCAACCCAAGACAAGGCAGTCTGCCTTGTCACGGGTGGGCACAGGACAGCATGCAGTACTTTTTTTAAGTGCACCATAGTGAGACATGGTACAAAAAAACCAGTGCAATGTGGCTCGATCAAACATATTGTCACTGTCTAGACACATGCACGCTAGCAGTCATGCGGTTAAGTGTGGCTGCTGGTGGGAACTAGCCCTTAAGTCGGGATGGCCTGCCATGCAGCCATACCTTAATTTATTCATTGCTATATTTGTCCCAAGGTGGGAGCTTTAGTAAGCTGGAGTTAGGAACAGCTCTTTATGGAGGGTTGTGACACAGCAATGTGGTTTTACATATATTTTCGAATTAATGCAATAAAAACCTCTGTCTGTTCTTAATGCAAATTGTTAAATCTGAACTCTGGGATTGCAAACAAAACTACAATTGCGATGGGGGCCATCCACACTGTAAGGGGAACATGCTCATTAAGTCTAGGGGTAGAGGAAAAAGGTGTAACACTTACTTTATTCATCCTTCTAGTGCAGGCTCCAGCACTCTCCTCTTCTCTCTGACACTCTGGGTTGTGGGGGGGCCCTTCCCATCCTCACATATAGTGCAGGACTACTCATCCTGCACTATTCTTAATGAAGTCAGTGTGCAGCCACTGGCTGGAGTGACTTAGCTGAGAGACTTCAGAGGAGAGGTCTCGCAGTGCCAAGAAAGCCTGCTGAAATGAGAAATAAGATACAAAATGCACATTGATCCTCTACCCCTAGACATAATGAGCATTTAAACCTTGCATTGCAAGGGCCACTGCAAGTGTAGCTTTTTTGTGCATGGATTGGGGCTTTAAAGTAGTACAGACCTTTTGTTTGCAGACTAGCTGGTAAGTGTGCTGGGGTACTTTTGTATTGTACTATTATGTGAATTTTTTTACCTGCCAAAAAAATGTGTAATTCTTCACAACCATCCAGACACCCTTGCCAGACAACACAACCTAGTTAGTTACCTGACTTTTCTCCACTGCTAGTAATTAATACAGCTTGGTCACTGAGCCGCCTCAGCCTGCTGATTGACAGAAGTTCACTTATGATGTCATCCCTGAGTTCGCTTCTCTTGTAAGCAATCTTTCAGTGTTAGACTGACAGCACTGTGCCCTGCAGTAGAGGTTGAGCGGCTCACAGTACCGATTCTTATGGAACTAGCAGTCAGGAGTGCGATGGGTTCATGGACGTTTGGCTCACAGTACTGCCCCTTCCTTGTCAAGTCTGAATCCTGCTGTGTAGGTATAACAGGAGACAGATTAAGGCACAATTTAAAGGTACTTTTTACAGATTTATAATGAATATAGAACTGAATTAAACGGGGCTCTTTTAAATCTGCCTAATTTTTTGTATGAAGGCCTTTTGTATCTGCTTTATGATATGCAGGGCAGAACATAGGGCAGTGAGGACATTTAACAGAGGTGGGAGCATACTGGAGAAAGACTAAACCCCAGTAAGGATTTCTATATGTTTTGATACATATCACTTGCTATAACCTCTGTTTGATTTCAGGCAGCTGCGCTATGAGTGGAATGACCAGAATAGCTCATGCTATGTAGTGCAGGGCAGTGCCTCCTTTATCTATGGTTATGAGTACTTGGGCTGCTCTTCCCGTCTTGTTATAACACCTCTTACCGACCGATGTTGGTTGACACTAACCGGAGCTCTGGACTTACATCTTGGGGGATCCCCAGCAGGGCCAGCTGGGACCGGAAAAACAGAAACCGTCAAGGATCTGGCCAAAGTAAGTCACTCTATGAAACAGGCAACATTTCTTTGTAAGTCTTCCTGCCGACAAGGAATACTCATTATTAATATATTATTGTATTTCTAAACAGGCTTTAGGCAAGCAGTGTGTGGTGTTTAATTGTTCCGAAGGCCTGGACTACAAGGTACGTTGATTAAAGCCAACCTGAATAGCTTGACAGTTCAAAGGCAATGGTAATTACTTTAATACCCCAGAACCATTTTAGTTTCCCTTTAAGAACATGTAATGAAGGAGAGTACAATGGTGGAGCTAACCAAGTCCAGGAAAGGGTTAGTGTTGGTAATTTTACAAGGTTTGAAAACACCTTGACAATAAATTAAATTGCCCATTAGGCTTACAGTGCAAATATGTATATGATTATTAATGGGCCTCTAAGTGAATGTTCTACTGACTAGATGTTTTTCAACATGTCAAGCCTTTTTTTTTTTTTTTAATTGGTCACAGGGGCCATATGCATTGTCGGATACAAGGGCTGGGGGTGGGAAGGCTTGAATTGCAAGGGTTCAAATCAAGCAGTCTAGTGCAGTCTTTTTCAACTTAATACTTTGCGGGAAGCCTTTAAATAATTTTTAGGTCCAAGGGAACACCTGCTTAAAATAATTATATCTACAGCTTAGGATACATTTGAGTGATACTGTAAGTTTCAACTATACTTAAAAATAAAATAATAAAGAATGTGGTGTACCTAGCATATGTGATGCCCAAAGGGGATTGTTTTTAACACCCCTCAGCTCTATATGACAATCATTTTCAATAAAAATAACAATAGCAAGAAAAGACACACAGATGGTGAAAACTGTAACATCTCCCCCCTCATTGGTGATTATTGTAAGGCTCTCTTACATTGGTGGTCAATGGAGAAGAGCACTCGTACATTGATAGTCAGATGAGAAGGACCCCCTTTAGTTGGTGGTCAGTGGGAAAAGGGCCTCTTTATGTTGGTGATCAGTGGGAACATGATCCCCCATACATGAATAGTCCCCCCTTCAGGGCTCCCTTAAATTGGTGGTCAGTTTACATATTTACATAGTTACATAGTATTTGAGGTTGAATAAAGACATTAGTCCATCAAGTCCAACCTATAGGATCTCATTCCTAGGAGTACTACTTGTACCCCTGTATATTACGGTCCCTTAAGAAATCGGCCAAAAGTTTCTTGAACAATTCCACATTCTTTGCTGAAATCACCGCCTGTGGCAGTGAGTTCCAGACCTTGACCGCTCTAACTGTGAAGAACCCCCTTCGCCCCTTGTGCTGGAACTTCTTTTCCACCAATTTTAGGTGATGGGCTCTAGTTTTTTTAATGGAGTTAATTTTAAACAGTTTATCGCTAATGTTGCTGTCACCATTGAACATTTTGTACATGGAAATCATATCCCCCCTTAATCTCCTCACCTCCAATGTGAACATGTTTAAATTTAGTAGCCTCGTAGTAGCCTAGTTTGAGAGGGGCCTTCTTATATTGGTGGTCAGTGTGTGAGAAAGACCCCTTACTTTGGTAGCCAGGGTAGTGCCCCTTTCAGTGGAAAAGTTCCCTCTTACATTGGTGGTAAGTGGGAGAAGGGCCCTCTTACATTGGTGGTCAGTGTAGAGCCCTTTTACATTGGTGGTCAGAAAGAATGACCCTTTTACAGACATTTACAAATATAATTAGTGTTAGTGGTTAATAACCTGAGAGAAAAAGAAGTGTCTCCACTGGTCCCATACCGCTGCCTCTACAGAGCTATATACATCCTGGAATTATGTAGACACCATCAGTCGGGTGGGAGATCAATTTGCCATTTGCCACTTTAACCTTCTGGAGTTTATTTAGCTTTACTTTCATAATTTACTGCAGTTTGTAGTTTTAGGCTGAGACATTTTTATCTGATGAATAAGCTAAGTGTTTAAAATTTGCAAAGCCCTTTTCTTTAAATGTTGTAATATACATATTAATATAGCTGAATAGCTAATATTTACTTATACTCTGTATACTCTGTACTAGATGATGGGAAAATTCTTCTCAGGAATGGCTCAGTCTGGATCCTGGTGTTGTTTTGATGAGTTTAACCGTATTGACGTGGAGGTTCTGTCCGTGATTGCCTCACAGGTTCATGCCATCAAAATGGCAAAGGACAGTCAAGCCATAAGGTTAGCAATCCATACATAGTACTTTGTCACAGACCTGAATTAAAGGGTTTATAAAAACTGAATATATTAGATACCCCTGCATCTAGTGTAAATATTGATTAATGACTTGACGGCTTAGGTGAAGCTAGGAGTATTTACCACCAGTGATACTTATCCTTTAAATTCTAAGGGATATAAAAGAAAGCTAATGTACATACTGTAGAAAAAAGGTTTATATAGTATAGCAGATATTTACAGTGCATACGTTTCTGTACATTGGGTATAGCTTCTCTGGCAAGTGGATTTAAACCTGCTTAACGCTATAGATTATCCTTGCCAAATCAGCAACATTGACGGCTCAATCAGTATTTTGCTGCAGGGACAGGAGGTTGGGACATTTTCTCCTGTCAAGGCTGCAGGGATCCAATCTCATACATTGGGCACCTTACCCATAGCACCCAATGTGTTTATAGATGAAAACCTCCCAGGTGTGGTTGGTGGAGGGACTGAGCCTTTGTAGAAGGCTTTACCTATAAACAAATTTAAAGAGGATAAGTGGGAGGAGAGACCCCAGAAAGAGCATTTCCTGTACTCCTTACATCCATATAGTGGCAGTAATGAGCTGCGAATTACGTTTGCACAGCGCATTGCAAATATAGAAGACAGGTGTATGGAGAGACCCCGGAAAGACCATTTCCTGTGTTCCTCATCTCCATCTAGTGGCAGTAATGTGCTGCAAACGTTAGGAATGCGTCATAAATTATTTTAAGTGTGTTAGACTTTAGAGGGAGATACTTTTGTCAACCAAGTCTATTCAGTTACAACCGTGAAAGTGAACCTGTGCTCCATTTTAAGAAAGAGGAAATTTAAAAATAAACCCTTGCAGTGGGGCTGTCCCTGCACTGCAAGGGTTAATTGCTTGGGTGCAAATAAAGAAAATACACTCACCTGACCCTAAGTCTTGTGGTGGTGAGCAGGGCTGGATTTGCTCTCTCTGCCCCAAGGCCAGGTTCCTCAATGCGCCCCCCTACCCTCCAACTCTCCCCCCGCCCCCCACATGGAGAATAGCAGACCAGCAGGCTGCATATACGTGATCTCAGCGACATCACCGGGATCACTTGTACAAAACAAGTGGCGGCTTCCACGCTGAACATTTAGCTCTGCTTGCCCAAAGCAGGACGAAATGTAGAAAACAACTACCCACCCAGCGCCTGGAACTGCATGTCCTGGGCATAGGGAGATAGGAATTCCACACCCCATATAGAACAATGTTTAGTTTCACTATGATTATTTAAACCATTATTTCTGATCCCCTCTGAAGTCAATTGAATAGTAATCAAATAGTCAAACTCAATCTGTTTTTTTCACCAGAAAAAAAACACTGCAACACGGAAAACAACATTTGATTGGTGTCCTCCCTGCTAACATTAATCTTAGTTGTGAAGTTAATGACCGAATTTTCCCTCATAAATGGACTTAAATATTTTGTATAGAAGTCTTACGCTTGAGCAATGAATTAGTGATGAATCCCTGTACTTCTATTTCTGTGGATTAAAAAGTTCTTGTATTTTCGGTAGGTTTGTGTTTGAAGGAAGAGAGATCCGTCTGAATATGTCGTGTGGAATTTTCATCACTATGAATCCGGGGTAGGTGCAAAGCCGACACCATTTCCTGACACAGGGAATAGCAACTGTTCCTCCCGATAAATTATACATATAGGTAGAACATTCAGAATTAACGAGTAGTGGGACTACCCTCCCCAGATAATGAGAAGTATTTTTCTTTTTGGCTACCTAATTGGCTTCCCCATTCATATCACATGTCTGAATCAAAACAGGGCTTGTGGCTGGTGTGTTTTTAATAGAATGGTGTGCATAGTACATAGAGTGCCTCTATGGGGTGGTGGAACCTGGTACTATTTTAAGATGATCAGTTCCTTCCCAGTGGGATTATGTATTGGAATGTACAGAAGTTCTCAGTAGAGGCTGATTTTATGTGCAGAGTTTTATACAGTACATTTCAAGTTTTATTCTGTATTGAAGACCTTGAAGACTCATTCAGCAAGTACAGCAGCCAACCAAAAATTATCTTGTACAGAGCTAACTGTAGGACACATTTGGTTGCTATAAGTTTTCAGTGGTTGCATTTTGTGTTGCGTTAAAGCAGAACTATGGTCAAGCAAGAAAACATTTTTAAAAATCACATATCTGATGCAGTCTGTCAACCATATCAACACGGCATTTATTGTTTATATGATTTTTCCAAGTAGTACCGTATGGTCTTATCCTGTCAGTACATCTGTTAATTTTTAGTGTCCTTCAGAAGGGTGACAACGCTGTTCGGTCTGGAGTAAAATTGCACAGCAGCGTTAATATAATTATGCAGCAGTCTACATATGGATATGCCCCAAGCCCTTATCTGTATTTCAGGTGCAGCAGGATGTCTACACACAGTATTGCCTGGTCTTGTCTATGTCTTAAAGCCCAACTCCAGGTATTTCTTCTTAATGTTCCCCAGAGGGATAAATGACAAACAGCAGCTTTGGCTGCAATACTCACCTCCATTATGTTGCTGTCCCCACAGTACCTCTACTCTCTAAAAGATTTCCTGAGTCTTCCGGGTAAAATGACTCCCAGGGTTATTCAACTTGGTCATTTAACCTGCAAGACTTAGAAGATACTGTGAATGCAGGGTGTCATGGACCCACCTTGAGGCTCTAACTCTCCAGACATTCTAACTCTGTACCTTCAGATGCTCTAACCCTTCCTTGCTGCACTAAAATGTGCTTTTATCTGTACCTCGATCAGAGAGATTCATCACCATCACTTTCTATCCTGACAGGGAATAAGGGGATACTTCCCCAATAAGCAGTAGAAAGGCATCATGGCACACTCACAAGTCAGCATGTAAAAAAACTTGTCTCACCACTAAGGTCAATAACAGAGGTTTGGATACACGTCTTCTGCAGAAAATGTGAAAGCCGGACAGCCGCCCCAAGGCACCTCTTATAGTGCGGTCCTAACTCTAAACTATGAGAGTCTCCATCTTGGAGCACATGGGGGGAGAAGATTTCAAATTGGGTGCAGGTTTGTCAGGAGGAAGCCCAACCTCCTTAAAGGCACAGGAACTCCCCCTCCCCCCCTCCACTCTACAAAAAATGTAGTATGTTCTAGCTGGAGTTGGGCTTCAACACTACTTGATAAAATTATGTATATTAGGTTCCTCATGTTCACATATATATCTTAAAACTGTAAAAAAAATATTGGTTTGAAGCAACTGTTTGGTGTTTATTGCTGTGAACAAATAAACTAGGTTGTCCTTCAGACCCCTTCTTATGGAACGCTCCATCCTTTTTTTTCAGATATAAAGGCAGAGTGGAGCTTCCAGACAACTTGAAATCTCTCTTCCGGCCTGTCTCCATGATGGTCCCAGACTACCAGCTCATCGCAGAGATTATGCTTTTTTCCGAGGGCTTCAAAGCAGCAAAACCTCTCTCAGGGAAGCTAGTGAATCTGTACCAGCTGGCCAGCAAGCAGCTTTCCCAGCAGGTGTGTACCTCCTCATGTTTATTTTCTGTAAACATGGTCAGACTTGTCCATCCGACATAAAATGCATAAATGGCAATTGACCTATAGAGGATTTCTGCAGCCATGGTGGAACTTATGTTTAAATCGGAACTCTAAGAGACAGAAAATTACGCTTGCAGTTGGGCTTCCCCCATACTGCAATGGTCAAATTTTCATTTTGTCTAGGGGGAGCAGAAAAACAACTATACTTGCCTTATTTATCACTCCTGGAGGCTTCCTTCCAGCTGCACGGCCGGTCCCCTGAAGTCATTTCTCTTCACTGCCCCAGCAGTCTCTGACACTCAAACGTCATCAAATACACTGCCGGACCAGCAGTTCTGCATTTTAAGGATGTGGAGGGCACACCCACATCCAAGAGCCTTGGAGGAGGAGAGAGTGTTGTCTACCAGGGAAGCAAGGGATAAGATTGCCTGCTCTGTTCTCCCCAGATGAATGAGCATTTGACTCTTGCAGTACTACACTGCAAGGGTAATTTTTTCCCGGAGATCAGCCTTAAATAAGCCTAGGGTGAAGATGAAAGAGGAATTGGGGTGCTATGGACAAAACACACCTTCCTTTCATACCTTTGTTAAAGCTGACCTGTCCTTAAAGGAGAACTATGGGGTTAAGGCTTTTCCCCATAGTTCTCAGGGTAACGGGAGGACACAATCTAGCGTCCTCCCGTCACCCTAGGCTCAGTATACCGCGAGCTATAGCTCGCGGTATACTGAGACGCCCAGTATACCGCAAGCTGCTGCTCACGGTATACTGAGGCGCCGCAGCTGAAGCGGATCCCGACAATTATGCCGGGATCCGCCCAGCTGCGTGACTGACAGCTGGCTCTGCCTATCTAGAGGCAGAGCCAGCTGTACCCGCCCCCTCCCTTGTCCGTTCCGCCATTCAGCGCTGGCAGATTGGAGCGGGGAGGGGGGAATCCAGCCCCTCCCCTGTCATGGCAGAGAGCCGCGACAGGATCGAGAGGTGAGCAAACACCAGTATGTGTTCGCTCACCTCCCAATCTACTGAGCCGACCTGTGACAGTCTCCTTTAAAATCAAAGTTTTGGATTTATAGTATTCATTTGTAAGTGTAATATTCCCAATCAATTAAATGTAAAACGTGTGATAATGCCTAGGAACCCTCTTTGTTTATAGCTTTGTAGAAGCCTATGAGGTTATTTTCCACTCACTTCTGCCTTGGATTATCCTCATGGAGTCATCAGGGCTCAAGGTCTCGGAACATGAATATCTGCTCTGTGCTAGCTCCTCCACTAATATGGTGTGTCTTGCTGTTATAGAGCACTATGTAATGGATGACAAAGTGGCCCTAAGTAAAGACCATTTGTAGAATGCCTACTATACGCTTCTTAACTGACATGTCGCTCACTGTTTAAAGAATAAAATTATCTGACTCTAGGCCACTTTACGAAGGTAAAATATGGGTGTCATCACTGAGTATAAGTGATCAATGTGTGTGCTATTTAAACCCTTTGGAAGCTGTAGCCACAAGGACTAGTGTACCATGCCTCTTGGATCACACTTGTCACATGTTATTCTGGGACTCCAGTAACAGTTTTTTAGAATCTTCTAATCTTGGAATTCTGACTATTTAGTAAGGCTGACATTGTTGTGAATGATGTAGGCAAGATTTTCTCAGTGGGAAGAGGCAAAATACAGCCTCCTCACACAGAAAATTTTCAAAAAGTTGCTAAACTGCATGCAAGAGTTCTGTATAGGTTCTCATTTTTTTTTTTCCTAGTCATGGTATACTATAGCTAGTAGTTATAGTATAGCTAGCTTGATAGTTACATTTAAATGGACTTTACGTGTAATGATGAAGATGGTTCACCATTTATCTAAGTGACTTCCTCTGTTCTAATGAGTGTCAGGAACCCCTGTATTTTTTTCCACACGATTAAGTCAGTCACCTTAAAGTGACACTAAACTCAGGAGTTAAATCTTAAAAATGCATTCAAGTACCTTAATTATTTGCAGAAATGTAGCTTATCTGTGTATCACTGTAGATCCTCAAATCATGTCTGAATTGGTGCTGACTCTGTTTTTCCTGCCGGCGGGTGGCTACTTCTGTTCCCCATGGTCCCTGTGTGTGTTGTATAGTAGCCACCGCTCCAAGCTCACTCCCATGATGCACTACGATCTCAATACAAATTAGTAAACTAAATCTGTGACTGTAGTACATCAAGGGAGCGAGCTTGGAGCGGTGACTACTTTACGACACACACAGGGAGCGTGGGGAACAAAAGTAGCCCCCCACCAGAAGGAAGGACAGTGTCAGCACCAATTCAGAGATGATTTGAGGATCTACAGCCGAGTGATACACATCTGTTAGCAGATCTTAGTTAATCGCAGAGACTGTAGGACACATTATATATTAATGCAGGTCTGATGCTGGAGGCCAATATGCAGACACAAATCACTCCTTTCTTTATATTAGGTAGATGCGTAATACTTGTACTCTGTTATTTAAAAAATACAAATAACATACGTCTTGTTTTCTAGAATCACTATGATTTTGGGATGAGAGCCATCAAGACAGTTCTAGTTGTGGCCGGTCAGAAAAAACACGACTTGGAGACCAGGTGGGAATAGAAACAAAATATAATCATTGTACATTGAGCTTTATTTGAACTGGACCTGTCATTCTTGTGTAATTAATAGCTTATAACCATTAAGTATACATCTTGGCTTAATCTAATGTCTACAAAACATACATACTTCATTATCTTTTACTACTGTGATACAGATTGGAGTCCAGCATTGTGAATATTTCAACAGACAGAAATGTGTCAGGGGGGAGTGAAGCAGAGCTGCAAAAAGATCTATACTTGCAATGAGAGAAACTGTTGGCTTTTGCTGTTCTTCTGTTTAGAATCCAAATCGATGAAAATCATTCTTTCGTTGAACAAAGTCGCCAGACCTCACTATTTAATCAGTTCTGGAGTTGGACATGTGATGTACATCCAAAAAATATCATTAAAGTAGACAGGGCATACATTGCATCATTAAAGTAGACAGGGCATACACACGGCTGTCCGTGCACCCCCCCCCCACTCCGTAGCCATCTCCTGACTACACTTGTCAGACTTACTCTCTATCATAGGCCAGAATACAATGTAGCAACATTATTGTTACATTCTATTTTTTCTGTTTAATACATATGCAGATCTGCATCCCCTCCTTACCTCTTTAGCTATTATGTTTCTGCTGACTTTCTTATTCCCATTTTTGTAACCATTAATATTCAAAAAAAAAATTACAATTTTTATTTGTTTTGTTTGTTTATTAATTTTTTGGGCCTTTGTCAATGGCCTTTGAGCATATGTCAATGACATCAGTTTGAGACACTGCTGAGATCACTCAACATTCATTGACAGGTGCATTTGACCAGTGACCTCCTTGTAACCTGCATCTGACCTGCTTGAGGCTGGGTTCACACCATTTTCCAGACCAGATCTGGACGAGATCTGGAACATAGTGCATTGCATTTTTGCCAAGATTGGAATTACATTTTTTTGCTTAAAATGGTCTTACAGGTGCGTTCCATGTATTTTTAATGCATTTTTTATGCATTTTGATGCATTCCAGACCAGACAAAATAGGACGAGCAGTATTTTTCTGGTCTGGCCCGGAACGGACTGCGCTGGTGGGAACAGATTCCAGAAATAGCATATGGATACACTGGGATGCATTTTGGGTCCCGAAACAGTCTAGCCTGGAGGCAATCTGGATGTGGTGTGAATGGGTCCTGAAGCAGGTTTTGTATTCCCAAACACTTGTATGGGAATTAGAAACTTGCTTGAAGCAAACAAATGCCGATTGACAATGGACCTAAAAAATGGGCAACATTTTTTAAAAATTGTCTTAACTTCACCTGTAAATAACTGCAATACTTTATACCTTAATCAAAGTTTTGGTGTCATTAAGAACAGGTAAACAGGACACATTATAGAATAAAATGTATACTTTTTAATTTACTGCAAAATTAATTTAAAAAAAAAAACTAACACTAGTTAAGTTAGACAAGTTGAGTTTCTTTAGTTTTGTTACTTTTTTGCTTATGGATTGCATAGAAAAAAATAATTTTTGCAACATGATATTCCAAAAGGAAATCCTTGTTTGTTGCACAAAAACAACAAATATATTACTTTATTATCTTAAGTAATGACAAAACATAATGAATACAGGTTTTCCCAAAGTTTTCCAAATTCTGAGCAGCACAGGATTAGTAGCAAGCAGACACTTCTGGGTTTGTCAGATCCCTGTCTGTGCTGACCCCAGTTGCTGCTGCCAGCTCTGTTGTGTGTGCACTCCAGCTATCAGCCTCACTGCTGCCATATCACAATGCGATGCTGCCCTTGGAGTTTCATCCAGGGAGAGCAGAAGCTTTGAAGGGGAGAAAAGAAAAAGAGAAAGACAGGAGAAAGAAATGGAATAGAAATGAATCAAAATAGAGTCTGAGGCCTATTGAGCATGCAAGCATATTCTCTGAATTTTTGGCTGTCACTGACCAGATATCCATGCAGTCTTCTGTAGTGATTGGGGAACCCAGTTCTTCCATCTGTGTCATTTTCCAGAATAGGACTCATTAAGGATATTAAACCAGGTATGTGAGGGTTAGGTTTTCATCTGCATTCAGATTAAATAAGAAAGAATGGAGGCTTGTGGTCCTTAAAGGATAAGTTCACCTTTTGCAAAAATGAATAATTGGTAGAGCTGCCCATATTCCCGCATTTACCTAGAGGAAGGACGGCTGGACACCGTATGAGGTGATTTAATGCAGTTTGAAGTCCATCCGTCCTTCCCCCATCTTTCCTAACTGAAACTCCGTACCTCAGTACGAGCTCTGCCTGGGAGAGAATGTGCAGAAGCCTGGGCTTGGCAACTGTGATCGAGTGATCACAATTGCGATGCTTTCCATGCTTGAATGCAAATATTAAAGAAATGCTTTTTTTTATATATATATATATATATATATATATATATTATTAATTATGCATTTCTTTAATTTTTGCAAACGGCGAACTTATCCTTTAAGGAAAGAGTAAACATAATGATGTAGTTAAAGTTAGTGGAAATTTTCTTTATTCGGAATTTAATGGGAATCTCGGAATTGGGAGAAATTTCTAAAGCCTTGAAATGTAGGTAACGGATACACACCCAAAAGTCACTAGAGGAATACCAATGAAATGAGTAAGGGCATTCCTTTGGGGAAAAACGGGCATTGTAATAAAGACAGAAGAAGAAGATAGGGTAACATCAGTCCACCCGAACATTTTACAGAATGCTAGACTTTTAATGTCTTCTAATAGCTAGAAGGCTTTTTTCAATGGCAGCCCCAAGGGGGCTTGCTTCAAGGGAAACCTTAAAATGGCTGTTATCTGGCACAGCCAAGACTCGATTAGCTGTGCTCACTCAGTGGCAGCCTCCAGCATCGGATAGACACCTCGGCTGTGACAGATAACAGCTTTCCGGGCAGGATCCCTTAAAAATAATTAATGGTGATCATCAATTTTAATAGGATAATCAGCTTGTGGCAGAGAGGGAAACTTCAAGGTCTGCACACCTGCTAATTCCATCAAAAGCATGAGCAGCAGAAAAAGGTTCCACCGAGGCTATTGCTTTGTGATCTGGGTTTTAGCACTCAGACTGAAGCCTTTAGCTGATACTGCAATAAACCACAAATGTGCCAGCATAGCGAAATATTAATATGTATGTGAGGGGAAACTGCTCCGGTTAAAAATAACCTTAAAATCCGGACAAATAAGGATCATCTGAGACTGGAATATGGTATGACACGATATGGGAGAGGGGCTGTCTAAGCTGTCCCACATAGCTGTGTGCTGGTCTCTCTGTCCATGTCGGGGGGTGTCTTATAAGCACAAGGTTTCCATTACTGTATTTCCATGCACAGTTACATATAAAAATATGTGATTTATATTGAGGAAGATCAACAGTTTAAAGCTAAACTCAAGGCAGATATAAAGGATACAAATGAATGCAGCTTTGTAATCAATAATACATCATTAAAATAATTGGCCTGTATCTGACCTGGTATCAACCCCTTACAATCCAAGTACAGCAGGGCTGAAGCGTGAGAGGAAGAAGCAGTATAAGGAGCCAATCAGTTCAGTGCTGACAAGAAGCATGCTGGTAGGAAAAGAAAGCAGAGTGGCAGAGATGAGCCCATCACTGTGCTGCTTCTCCTTACATTGTCCAGTCACAGGCTGCAAAATATAAATAAAAAAAATATTAAAATACATATATTTAATGGCTAAAAAGAGTTCAGATTTTAAGCAAATATAGTTGTTCTAATGTTATAGAATTTTTTGTTGTAATTGTCCGCAAATGTGTTTTTCACATATAATTGTAAACTTTTATTGTAAGTAAAACAGTAACCATACAATCTGAATACAAATGTACACAATTTATATAATGTACTATACAACATTTATTATCCAGTTTAAACCCAGAAACCTAAGGAAAGTTTAGAATGATAACTGTTGTGACATATCCCTAATGCCTGGAGCTTTCTGAGATTTTTAAAATTTATCTAAAACCAAAACATTTTTAGTTTGGGATAAACTAAAAATAAATTGTGATCTTGATTTTTTTTATTTTTCTGTCTGAGTCACCACTGCAAAAATGTTCCTTTACCTTCTGTATCGCAAACACAGCAGGAAGTGAGAGGCAATCTTTCTAAAAGTGAGGGTAAAATCCCTCTAAGATAGTTGTCCTCATGAGAGCCTCTGGTAACAACTATAAGATTTTGGGTTTCCCCATCACTGTTTATTATCATTAATTATCCTATTCTATGTAAAACTACATAGGGGTAATTGGACGTGAGTGAGGCACCCATCCGCACAGCCTCACGTCCTCCAGGGAAGCCCTTGACATATCATGCTATGCGGGCGGGGGCCTGGGGGAGGAGCTACCTTTAGGATGCGATCGTCCAGATCGCATAGGACAATACGTTATGGCATTGCCGTATGCGGCCGCTGCCATAACGTATTATGCGATCCGATCGGCAATTTTCTGCGGGCTCAAGGGGCAGATGCTTCGGGCCCCCACAACCTTTATTGGGCCCGGGGCAAGTGCCCTCTTTGCCCTGCGTTAAAGACGGTCCTGGGTAAGTCTTTATAAACACTAAAATAAGGATATTTGTTAACTGACCACTGGAGAAACTCCTGTATTAAAATCTTTCTTTCAATCTCCGTGCTTAAAATTACTCTGTTCCTATTGGCCAATAACTATGATCGGCTGCTTCCTTGGCCAAAAGGAATGTGTGTGGGGATGGAAGGGAGTGGACAAGCTCAAATGCTAAAAGGAACTGCCAGAGCTTTACATAGTTACATTGTCAGTCAGGTTGAAAAAAGACACATGTCCATTGAGTTCAACCTATAGAGATTTTTTAAAAAAAAAGAAAAGCCTAAACGGAACGCTATGCCCATAGTTGCCTATTGTTGATCCTGAGGAAGGCAAAAAAAACCCTATAAAGCATGGTTCAATTTGCTCCAACAGGGGGAAAAAATTCCTTCCTGACCCCATAAGGCAATCGCATATTCCCTGGATTAACAATCCCTGGTGCTTAATATACCTATAAGAACCTAATATCCAGCAATATTCTGTGCATTTAGGAATACATCTAAACTACATACAGCTTTGGCATTTCAGAACATCTGGCATTTGGCCATAGAAGATGTGAATAAAAGCTACTTTAGATACAGTATGTCCACCTCAAGATGCTTGTGCTTTATACCCATTAACAGAGTCACTTTAAAGACTGTCAACATAAGATATACATTCTCCAATAAGATTAGCCGCACGAAAACCAGCTTAAGTGTAATCCAAAATGTATTGAAGTAAATCCAAAAGCAAAATCCAAAATGAAATCCAAAGTACGATATGCAACATTTTCACCACCATGAGTCTCTCCCACACCAACGTCACTCACACTTTTCACCACCTGGGATTAATCATAGATCTCTTCATTGAGACCAAAGCCAAAAGACTTGTAATAAGCTAGTGGGAGACTACAACTACTTGTAGTTTACCACTAGCTTATTACAAGTTTTTTGGCTTTGGTCTCAATAAAGAGATTGAAGAGAAGAACCATTTAATGATTGTTCAAGAGTGTTGGAATCATGATAATAATTACTGCACCGGTGGAACAGGACGGTGTTTCACACACATATATTGTGCACGTAAAAGAAAGGGCTTCACCTCTATGATTAAGCCCAGGTGGTGAAACATGTGAAAGGCGCTGGTGTAGGAGAGACTCATGGTGGTGTACATGTTGCATATCGTACTTTGGATTTCATTTTGGATTTTTGCTTTTGGATATACTTCAGTAAATTTTGGATTTCACATACACTGGTTTTCGTGCGGCTGATCTTTTGGAGATTGATTTGAGCAGTGAGGAGCACACTGCAGCCTGCACCCAGTGTATGTTTTAACTGCTGCCGGAGATAGAATCGGAGCGGTGAGTTCACAGAGTTCTTTGAATAAGATATGCGTTCCCACTAATTATTAAAACAGAACTACTTGAAGCAACGATATACTAATTACAATGATGCAGATGTGAACTAGAGAGTGATCCTCTGAATCTGTAAGTAAGACCGTGGTATTAATATGTAACAGCAAGGATGTAGAAATGTGAAATGACAAAAAAAAAATTGCAGTAACCCTAATTGTGTACTTAATGAAAATGAAAATATAGATCATTCATTTGCAGGGCTGAGAGAAGCGTTAAACTAGCATACAGGCCCTGAGAACTCAACCAGAACATGTGCAATAATTCATTCTTTTCCATCACGACCAGAGAGAAGAAATCCCGCCTGTCTGCAGATGAAGAGGCGCTAATTATTATTACCGCCTTAAAGGAAGCTAATCTGCCCAAATTTTTGGCTGAAGATGTTCCACTCTTTGAAAGCATCATGGCTGACCTGTTTCCAGGAGTTGTTTTTGAAAAAGCCAATACTAAGAGATTAGAGGTAATGGACTGAGCCATTTGTTTTAGATAATCAAGTCTCTCTCTCTTGCAATCCTTTCATATACAGAACTGCAGGTAAATGTCAAAAACACGCACCTGCTTATAACCAGTTTACAGAGCCAGTCGCCCCACAACAAAACTTTCAGCACATTTGTTCTGTAAAAATAGACACAAAAATTAGATTTCTTAGAATTATTTTCTTTTCAGGTTGAATGTAAGTAATTTGTTACTGCATTTTGGCCTCTAGATGGAGCTGAGGAGCATAGGAAATAAGTATTTAAAGAAGAAGTATTGAGAGAATAAAATGTACCCTTCCCAATACTGCAGGTGTCACATGCCCTCTTTATAGATCGAGAGCTGAGCAGTCAGCGATTCATGACTGTCAGTCACCACTCCCTGCAGGGATTACCCCCTCTCTGTTCCTCCAGCGCTCATTGGAAGGACAGGCAGGAGAGGGGGGGGGCATAGCTGGCTCTGGCTCTAGAGAGGCAGAGCCAGCTGTCAATCAGGCAACGGGGCGGATCCCAATAATATTGTCGGGATCATTCCTGGCTGCAGCGCGGCCTTTGGGCCACAGGAGTACATTAGTAAATGTACTCCTTTGACCTAAAAAAAGGTTTGGCTTTAGTTCTCTTTTAATAAATAAAAGTATTTATTTCCTATGTTCCATGGCTCTGTCTAGTGGCCAAAATGCAGTAGTACATTGAATACATTCGATGTGAAAAGAAAGAATATCTAAGAACGTTCTTTTTTCTATCTATTCACACAGAACATTCTGGAATATTCATAGGGCAAATGGCTCTGCAAATTGGTTATCACTAGACCCTTTAAACATTTGTGAAGACCAGCTGAACTGTCAGTTTAAATCAGCTAAATACATTCCTTGTACATCAAAGGAAAAGCGGATTCATACCTTACAGTTCATTTTCTTTCTAAATTAGCCATAGGATAAATAGAACAGTCTGTCCCCTGCCAGCATGCTGCAGAAAAGGGCCTTGGTTCTCAGTGTGGAAGCAGTGGTCTCTCTGCCGAGGTCTGACATGCTTCGTGCTAACTCAGGGCTCTACTGGTCAGCCTATGTGCATGGCTCAGATTGTTGACCTTCCGCATCCCAGTCAGAGCATGGCTGTGCAGAAGATTACAAGAAAATGACAAACACGTTCAAGTATTTGCAAAAGTTGCATTTACAACTTAAAGTTACCTTACTGAAAAGAGTATTTCACTTTGCCAATTTAGAAAAAGTGGCAGGGTCTCTTTGAAGCCCCACCCCATATCACTTAGGAGGCTAGGTTCACACCTGCACTACACCCTACACCGCACGACACCCGGGACGTGTGTCACGGAATCGTTCGGTCCTGTTCAATGCAGTCAGCGATTGCCGCACGGTTTCAATGGGGTGACATCCGCGCGGCAATCGCAGAAAAAAGGTACAAGTACCTTCTTTTTGCAATACACAATGCGCAGCTGTTTTAGCCGCGTGTTCGGAAGCGCGGGCGGAAGCTCGGCGGGAAACCGAGCAATCTGCCCCCGCGACTGGGGTGCCATTAGAAAATAAGGGCAACCACAGCGCAATCGGTTCACACCTTGGCGACTCCTGACCATGCGGCAATCCGTGCAGAATCGTGCATGATTGCTGCGCGGTGAGGTGTAGCCTTGGTGTGAACCTAGCCGTAAAGTCATTTTGTTGGCATTGATATGGGAAAGTGTTCCTTTATAAGCAATCTGTTACAAAATAAAGAACAATCTTTTTTATCTGTTATTTATAGTTCTTTTTTAAATTTTATTTTGCATCTGTTTTATTTATTTATTCCACCTGTGAGGGATTCAGCACGTTTAAACCTGATTTTACAGCAATTATTTGTGTCTGATTGTTTAAGCAGTTTTGCCTTTTTCCCTCTAATTGGTTCCCCTGCCTCATTAACAGACGATAGCTGAACCTGGCACTATGGGCTAAGCATTTATTAAAAATAATTTTCTGTGGCGTTTCTGCAGCGTGAAGCACTGTGTCTGTGTTTTTTCTTTTGTTTTGTTTTAGAAAGCAATATCTTTGGCAACAAATGAATTAGGCTTACAGCCCTGGGAAAGTCAGACAGAGAAGGTCATCCAGTTCTATAATCAGATTCTGGTGAGTGTCTTTGCTTGGCGGAGATTCGTATCATAACAATTTATTAAATTGTAGTTCAGTACAATGCAAAAATCCAAGGAGTTGAATGATTATAACATGTTGAATGTCCCCACTGGTGGTTGGTTGCTAGAACCACGCAGCACAGTGATGTTCTGCCTCCCTAGTCCCTGCCCTTCCCAGAATTAAACTGTTCATATATGCCTGCTGCCCCCTTCAGTCAGCTGCCCATCCCGGCCAAGTAAACTACTGTCTGCAAGGGGCACATAAGGGGAAACTCTGGGGAGTCTGATGTAAGGGGAGACTCTGGGCATTGAGTCCCCAGCATCCCCCTTAAATCACAGTCCTTCATTACATCAGAGTCCCCCATTACATCAGAGTCCCCTCTTACATCTGAGTCCTTAGAACTCTGAAGTAAAAGGGGGTCTCTGGGGACACTGATATAAGGAGGGACTCTGGAGACTCTGATGTCCCCCCTTACAACAGGGTCCCCAGTGTCCCCTCTTACATCAGTGTCTGATGTAAGGTCGGTCTCTGATGCAAGGGGGAACTCTGTCACCCCTTACATCAGAGTCCCCCCTTACAGAGTCTGATGTAAGGGGGGACTTTGTTGTAAGGGGGGACTCTGAAGACTCTGATGAAAGGGGGAACTATAGTGGGAAGACCAATTATGTGTTTTGGGGGTGGGATATAGTGGGAAGACCAGTGCGTGTGCTGGGGGTAGGATCTTATGGGTGGGACATGTGTCACTTTTAATACTATACAATATATAGAAATATAGGTCATTTCAATTCAGTTTAGGTATCATGGATTACAGTGTGTTTGTTGTGTGTCTTTTAGGCTCGTCATGGCGTCATGCTGGTGGGTCCTACTGGGGGAGGAAAGACAACTGTACGAAGAATTTTGGAAAAAGCATTGGGACATTTACCATCAAAAGGAGGACATTCTCCAGCAGTAATTACTTTATATGTGTCTGATTTTACAAAATATGTCACTATATAGAGGGGAAATGCAACATTTTCTGGCTTCGTCGAACTTTATTCTATTGCCACAGCTGGATAAATTTCTCTCAACATATCTTGTGCCATTGTCCATTTTGAAACCTTATTGAATGAAGCCCTATGGGGTCACTCACCATACTGTAATAGTTGGTGATGTCTATTTTAAAGTACAACTTCGGCCCAAATTTTGTATTAGTTTTGGACAGAATGGGGAAAGGGTTAAAACTTTTCCCCTCACTTTTTGACAGGCCACAGGGATTGGAAGTAAGGCAAACTTTCCCCGATGGGAGTCACAAACAGCAAAAACATGACAAAATATTTAATATTATTATTATTACGATTTAAAACTTAAAAAAAAACATTAACAGGGTTATTCTCAAAAGGGTGAAGAGTTTGGAGAAGACAGGAGAAGTGAACAATCTAGGCCAAAATAGCTGATTTGGAAAAATTCTCCAATTCAACTAACTCTCCAGTTCAGCTACTTTGGCCTAGATGGTTCACTTCTCCTGCCTTCTCCAAACTCTTCACCCTTTTGTGAATAACCCTGTTAGCTGCAGTTGGACTTTAAAGTGTATGTACAGTCAAAAGCTGTTTGTGTGGTTTTGGATAGAGGAATGGTTAAAACTAAACTCTGGCCTTACTTTACATCTTGCACAGCTGTACAGGGTCTTCTTCTTGACTGAAATTGCTTTCTCTGATTTTACTGCACACTGTAAGCTTCTTGCAATGTACATTAGATCAGATAGAGCCGGCCTCATTTCCTGGCTGGAGGACGTCTAGCATCAGCTGTGTGCTGCTTTTACTTTTACTGTCCAGTCACAGTCTGGGGGAGGAACAAGACCTATAACTGTTACTTAACTGCAGCAGAGGAAAATCAGCTCTCTTTCACTGATAGACAAGGCTGTGATGTTTGACAGAGTTGTGTAAATCTCAGGACTGGGTGGACAGAAATATAGTTCCTTTGGCAGGTAAAACAACTCCTTTTATATGTATTTCATCTGTGTATTTTAGGGAAAGGGTAAGGTGGTCTCTTTCATCATCAACCCCAAATGTGTGACCCTTGGAGAACTCTACGGAGAAATCAACCCCAATACCATGGACTGGTCCGACGGGCTGCTGGCTCATGCTCTACGCACCTTTACGCAGCAGTCTTCTAAAGAGGGAGGGGCTAATGCTGCTGATTCCAATGTAAGTATGATATTGTAACCCTGTAATCATCACCGTTCCATATAGAGACTGTGTTCCAGTTATTGACATTCTAAGGTAGTGCAGTGGTTAGCATTATTACTTCAGGGAAGGTTTTAGTGAGATGCCCCATAGATCACTTAAGTCTACATGAAATCATATATATATTTATATAAAATAACAAGGATTGTCAACGTACAATTGTGGGTTCTTTTGACCCAGAATTCCATTATACATTACATTGTTATTGACACTGAATTATCTCAGGAGGGCTGTTGTAGAGGTGTCATAGACCTAAGTGCATTGCTGCCTGAGACAGGAGACTATTTATACATGTGCCGATTTCTCAGTTGACATTCTGGAATCTATGTCTTCTCTTTTCCTGACAGTAGAGGGTGTATAAAAAAAATGTACAGACCTATTCATCCTGCTAAACTCCATGTACATTCCTTCTGTGCAAATAGGGGCAAGAATGAATGTTATTAGTATATTTTCTTTAAATTCGAATGTAATATCAGAAAAATACTACAATATGGACACTAGATGGAGCTGAGATCACAGGAAATAAGTATGTTAACCCTTGCCAGAAACCCACTTTCCTTGTAACTTCCTGTGCACTGAACTGATATCTCAACAATGTTATCAGCTTTCCAAGTTCTTTTTTATTTAGAACTACAGAACACCTGTAATGGATGTGGGGAAGTTATGTAGCCCAAACACACTTCCTGTCCTTGAGCAATAAAACTGCTGCTCAATAGATAATAAAGTAGGTTTTGTCACCCTGGTACAGAAAGTGTTACTGGAAGGATTGCTAGGTGCTGCAATATATTACATTTTTGTTCAGGTATGCGTTCAGTAATCAGTGCGCCTACACATTTTGGCAAGCAAAGCACAGAGAATGTAGGGGGCGCTTTTCTTTCCTGCTATTAATTCTTCACACCAATTAATATTGTGTATGTGCATTATTATTTGTGAAAAGGAAATACAGTAGATAAAACATTATCATCTTAATGCTAGCGTGTTTATTGTTACTCTATAACAGAATGATGACAAGGAGAAAAACGTAGATGGTGTGCCCAGGTTTGTAAATATCAACACAGCTGAAGGTCATTCAGATGATTCAACGCCACAATCTATAGGTGAGTATACTCTTAGAGCTAGGGATGTTCAGATACCAGTGCCGATACAAGTGCCGATACTTGGCATTTTCATGAGAACTACCAGGAAATCATTAGTCTGTATTATTTTAGAAAAACTGTCACATGACAATAAACAAAAATGTATCAGATCCAGATTAAATGTAACAAATCCCAGGAGCTCCGTGTGCTCCTTACAAATGACAGCTGCCTCCTAACTTTTGAATTTTTCCCTAATCTAGTCTTGGAGCTGGAAAAGTATCTGTACTTGTACTTGTACCGAGTACGGTACTTGGTATCTGAAAATCCCTACTTAGAGCCCTTTTACACTCTTGCATATGCAAAAAATATTATTTTACTCCTATTACTGCAGGTGCTTTTGTGCATTTTATAACTGGGTTTCTGATTCTGTTTTTGTGAACTTTATATGTGTTTTTTTGGTCATTTTAAAATGCAATGTAGGAGATTTTGCATGGCGCAGGTGCACTGAAAATGCACAAAACTGTGGAATACATGTGTTTTTGTTCCTTTACCGCTTGTTTCAATGGGCTTTTTTTAATGCACAAAAATGCAGCATGTCTTAGATTTCAAAATGCTATCTGACACATCATTTTGTCCACTTAGATTTAAGGCTCAGTAATGTATAAAATCCTTTTTCTATCGTTTTTGAATGATTTAGAGATTCAGTACCATATCCCCTCACTTGGTTCCCCCTGATACAAAACCCTGCTTTAGGGTTAAAACTAGTTATAATTGTTGCGTCAAACAAAAATGTTTTTGGCTTGACATGCACTTTAACTGCATGAAAACGCATGCAGTTAGTAGAAATTCTGTACAACAGCTTAAAGCTGGCCATGCACCTATAGATTATCTGCAGATTTTCTATGGTCAGATGGAAAAAGTGCAACAGATTCCTCTCAAAATACCTGAACACTCTGATTGGATGCAGGCATTGTTTAGGTGTTTTGAGAGCCTAGTGAGACCCGCATGGAGCACTGGTGAGACCAGATAACCTTGGCCTACTCACAACTAGCTACGTAAGCAGAAGGGGTTAAAAGGCTAGAGGTGACCAGGTCACTACAGGGGACAGCAAGGCCCAACTGGGTTGGGAATGGTGGGAAGAATCTACCTCACACTGAAGACAATAGGGTACAACCATGCTATTCTCCAGCTGATGACACAGTCACCATTTCTCAGCACATTAACCCTTTCCGCAGAGGCCAATGGAATAGGAGCATAATGGCAACAGTAAACAATACCAAAGTGTAGAAGCTCCCAAGCTCAATGTGGCAAACTAATAAGTGCCAAAAGTGACTAGGCACACTAAAGTCAGTGTTACGGCTCTGCTCATTAGAGAAAAGACATTCATCCCACGAGGACACTAGCAAAAAAATTAAAGGGAGTGGGAGGGGTTAAACAGCACGGGCCATAGCTTTTTGTTTGACAGTGTCTAATTCCTCCTGAAGATGGCAGTATAACCAATTCACATGAGAATACCTAATGATCCTGTGTGCATTAATGAAAGGTGAAGAAATATTTGTATACAATTAAATGTGCACTGTATACCTCAGAATAATCCAAGGATTGGGTATATGACGCAACAATTATAACTAGTTTTAACCCTAAAGCAGGGTTTTGTATCAGGGGGAACCAAGTGAGGGGATATGGTACTGAATCTCTAAATCATTCAAAAACAATAGAAAAAGGATTTTATACATTACTGAGCCTTAAATCTAAGTGGACAAAATGATGTGTCAGATAGCATGCAAGTAACATTGTCAGCAATTGGACGCACTAGGTCGTAGCTAGCTTTCACACTTGTGATTTTACATTTTTACACAAATTAATATAATAAAACCCTTATCATTTTCTTTCAGCTGTTCTGTTTGTAGCTATCCATATGTAGAGTAAAACCTAGCTGACATGTTTTAAAGTCATGGTGGTACCTCATAGGACTAGTGATGATGGGGATTGCGACAGTTAGACAAATAGGCTATGGGGACATATTAGACAATCCATTAGGGATCTTTAATCAGCGCTGGGACAAAGTCCTATAGCACCAAGGCAAAAAGGCCAAAGAGCGCCCCTCCATGAGCTGTGAACTACTTCAGCAGCATCAGAGGGCACCACCCTCATGCTCACGCATCCAAGGCAGCTGCTTCTTATCATCATAAAACAGTTAACAATCCCTATTCTAAACTTTCTTTCAATCTGGGAGCATCAAAAAATGAACAATGTACCTCAATGCATGAGACATACAGCAATGGCTAACCAGTGTACATGAGCTGACGTGAATTAAAACACATAAATGGCGTGAATAGGTTTTTAAAACAATATTTCTTCTTTTCCTGTAACTAAAACACACGATTTTAAACTGTATGTCCAACTCTCACAGAAAGAGAAGGTCAATCTCTCTAATGGAGCCTCAAATAGCAGTGGAAACTGGGCAAGTGTTCTAACTCTTTCTTAGCCCGTCGAAAGCTAGAAAAATGTTGCATGTGGGTTTCACCAGGGCTGTGCGAGCAGCAGGGTCTTACCACGGCTGTGCAGGCGGCGGGAAGGGGGAGCAAGAGATGTGCGGCCAGACCGGTGGTGTAAACAGCCGCCGTGAGGTCCCCAGCAGGCTGCCGTGAGGTTCCCAGCAAGCGCAGGACCTTACAGCAGCCAAAGCTATTTAAAAATGTAAAGGGTCGTATCGGCACTTAGTATTGGGGCATTTTCACCAGTACGAGTACTCATGAAAATGACCAGTGTCGGTACCGATACTAGTATCAGTGCATCCCTAGTTTTATCCAGGGAGGAGTTCTCTGCAAACATGCAGAATTTTCTCAGCCAAGTTGCCAATAGGATTTCTGATTAAGAGCACAGTGGTTGCAAGCATGCTTCCACACCTTCCCAGACCAGACTCAGTTTCTGGCATACATGCAGCTGTAGAAAATACCTTATGCTGCAGAAGTTCTCTCTAAATTGGGAACTTGGTGGACAACTTTGTTCCTTAGCTCCTAATCTCAAAGAGATCATTTCAGGTCTTATGGATGTGGCATGAGTCACATTCAAAATGGAACACCTAGAGACTTTAACTAGTGCTGGTAACAGTGTGGCCCCTCCTAGAGGCTCTCCTCCCAAATGATTTACTGATCAATATCCTTTTGATTGGAGTTTTATTAAGAAGTGGTCTTTACCCATTGTAGATCCGGCCATATCTTTTCTTAATAAAACACTGACTGTGCAGTACAGACTGACCAGTATTTAGGGATACCACTGACATGCATTACAAAAATTATTTCTAAATTATTGTTTTCACTTGCAGGTCCTGCCATGCCACCTGCGATGGAGATTATGTCCGTCTGTCAGACCTTAGCAAAATGAACTTAGGTTATGGCTAATGATCCAGCTACAGTGTTAACTGAACATTTAATTATTAAATGCTTGGAGCTTTTGCCCTCAGCTCTACACTACTGTGTGGACAGTTTGGCTTACGTTATCCGTCTCATTTCCCGAAAGAGTTTCCTGTCAGTTAACATGCAGAAAACTTTCTGGCTGAAGTGTTGGTCTGTGGAACAGCAATGCAGAAACCGCTTGCTGCGCATGCCTTTAGATGTTTTTTTAGAGGTTCGCTGGATAATTTAATTATCGGTGGTATCATTTACCAGAGCAGAAGAAACATCAACCCCAAACTGCTAGATCTTCTGCTGCCTCTAAAGCCAAAAAGAGTTTATTTTGTTTCTACAAGGCTTCTCACACTCGCATAAGAGAGGGGTCCAGTACCACCGCAATCCCTGCACCCCCAAAACGCCTACAAGCCTGTAGAGAAATCCCCTTCAACATGAAGGGATGTCCTCACTTATCAAAGTGAGGGGACATCTATTTGCCTTTGTTGACACCTGGTCAAAAACAATCTCTGATGCCTGGGTAGGAGATGTGGTGTGCAGGAGCTGCAAGCTAGAGTTCAGCTATCTGCCCCTACCTCGATTCATGTCATCCAACCTGCCTGTGTTTCCACTCAGGCTAGCAGACCTCCATGCTGCTACTGCGGATGAAGGGTTTTATGCCAACCTTTTCACTGATCCAAAACATAAAGGAGGCGTCAAGGCTACTTTAATTTTATTGTAGGCACGCAACACTATCAGTGTGTAGCCCTACCCTTTGGCCTATCATCTGCACCATTTGTGTTCACCAAGTTTCTAGCCACTCTCCTGGCCTTACTATGATCACTGGTTATCCCCATTGTGGGATACCTAGAGAATCTCCTATTAGGGGAATAGTCAGTTTAAACTCTGACTGTCAGCAGTCCAGACATTACAAATGTTTGGTTAAATCTTGTACCTCCAGAATCAGTGTTCATAACTTGGAGTATCTAGGTGTTATTCTAGACTCAGCTCAGGTTTTTTTTTTCTCCCAAAAAAAAAACTTTTGTTACTCCATTACCAGACTTTGACTCTACAGTCCAGGAGCCGACCAAATGTGCGATTCTGCATGATAGTTCTTGGATTGATGATAGCCTCCTTTGAGGCAGTCTCAGGGTATCTCTTATGTGGTTCCTCCTGTACATCTTCATAGGATCTAAATATGTTTCTGCTGGCTCTTTAAACACTGTTTCTTTTTATCTATTATGGATATTCCCTTGTATACTCACTAATAAGGTTGTGTTCCTTGGCGCGTTTAACTCTGCTAGACATTTGTCTGAGTTGGCAGCCTTAATCTGTAAAGAACCCTTTCCAGTCTTACACAAGGGTAAATTAGTATTAAGGCCTATAGCCTCCTTTCTTCCTAATGTAGATTCAGTCTCTCAACCAAGACGTTGTTCTTGCATCTCTCTGTCCAACTAGAGTACATCAGAAGGAAATTTCCCTTCACTAACTTGATGCAGTTCGTGCTGTGCAAGTTTACCTCTCAGTCACTGCTTCCATTACAAAAACTGACTCTCTATTTCATTTCTTATGTTCCCCATAAAGGGGAGCCAGCTTCTTGTTCCACCATTTCTCCGTGGCTTAGATACATCATTATTCAAGCCTATGTACAAGGTTTCACCTTTTCCTTTCAAGGTGCACTTTACTAGGTTTTATTTACCAGTATCCAATTCCTTCTCAAGGCAGCAGTATAACCCATTTGCATTAGAATAACTACTGATCCTGTGTCCCTTAATTAACTTCAAGAAACAAATTTTACAGTAAGTACAAAATTCCTATTTTTTCCCCCGTTTCATACTAAGTTATTTGCATATACAACCTAGCAGCTACTCCTGTACTATAATCCAGCACAACTTGGTTGTTTTTTCAGGAGACGCAGCTCCAGACTGGTATTGGATAATCCTTGACGGCCCAGTGGACACAGTGTGGGTGGAAAACCTGAACACGGTTCTGGATGATACAAGGACTCTCTGCTTGGCCAACAGTGAAAGGATTCGTCTTCCTCAGGGTATGAGGATGGTATTTGAGGTGGACAGCTTATCACAGGCCAGTCCTGCTACAGTGAGCCGTTGTGCCATGGTGTATATGGTAAGAACCTGTAGTGGTATACAGGTAGCTTAGTGGTTAGCACTGGCGATCGTTTGTGAAGTTTGTGTGTTTTGCTTGAGTTTTTGGGGGTGATTTACTAACCTAAACACACGCACGCACTAGGTGCGTGTGATTTTTACACAGCAAAACGTATTTATCAACCAAAAAGTCTCTAAAAGCATATTTCCACTAATGCCATATATGGAAAAATCATGCACATGATGCATATATAATGCTGCTTCACAGTTTAGACAAAAATGGTTAGCTCATGCATTTACATTCCTGCATTCATCAACGCAAGCAACACAATGTAGAGCTAATTTACACAACATCACCTTGCAATTCATGCAGGGCTTTGCAGAACACACCTGCTGGGTGTGTACACACTACAAAGGTGTTTAGATTCCTCCCATAGATCATGCTGGGAGGGAACACACTACAGAGGTGCATACATGTTCGTGGTGTGTTTATAAGGTTAGTAAATCAACCCCTTTGTGTGTTTCCTCCATGCATTTGTCTTCCTGTGATCTTGGAATGGGCTTTCCAAGTGCAAAATAAACATTCAGGCTATCCCTCTACTACCTAATGCCTCCCGTAATTAGGAACCTAATAATGGGATTTTTTGTTTGGTACTTGGAAAGGTAAAATATTGACGGTTTTTCGTTTCCTTGCTATAGACTACTTAGTGGTCTTAAATACATTATATGGCCAAAGGTTAGTGGAAACCTAACTAGTATGAACTTGTTGGATCCACTTCCAAAACATAAGCAATAATATAGTGTGGATTGATATGTTTGTTCAATTTTAAAGTGAAAGTGTATTTAGGGGACCTTCCATGTGATTAAATGTTATCTGTTAGCAGAAGGCACAAGACCTTAGGGCAAAAGTGAGTGAGTTTAGGGCATATCCATCAAAAGAGGAGCATGTTACTTCTGCCAGCATAGCCCTGGAAGCATTATATCAGTGTTCAGATTTGCAATCCGAGAGAGGAACTGATCACATCACATCAAGACCTTGAAAACAGACATTTTGATTATCTTAAATTACTCTGTAAAAGCTTTTTTTTTGCGGATATCTTCACCATTGTTTTCATATTTTAGTTTATGAGCTTGACTCTTTTTCATAACGTTGCTTTACACCAGTGTTGTACTTCGCTTTGACATTAACTTCCTGTTTTAAAGTTTTATAAAGTGTAGAAAGATTTAGCAAGGAAAATTAAAAAAAGCACAATTTTGCTGATCTTTGAAAATCAGTTGCAAATTTTCAAAAGTACTTCTGTGTAATGTTAAGTTAATCTTTTAGATTGTAAGCCCTCACGGGCAGGGCCCTCCTTACCATCTTGTCTTAAATTGTATTGTGACTGTAATGTCTTCCTTATATTGTAAAGCGCTGTGCAAACTATTGGCGCTATATAAATCCTGTATAATAATAATAATAATAATATCAGATGCCAACAGAGCATATTGCAATGTAAATGCAGCATCTTCTTTTGCAGGATCCGGTGGATCTAGGATGGGAACCCTTTGTTAGGACCTGGGTGACTCGAATATCCGCTAAACTCCCAGCCTTGGCAGTGCAGTACCTGAACACACTGTTCAGTCTCAGTGTGGATGAGGGCATCAAATTCATTCGCAGCCACAGGAGCAGCTTACCGTTCCCTGTCCAAGATATGGTCCTTGTCATGAACTTATGCAAAATCTTGGATGCCTTTATTGATTTCATGAGCAGTAATGGAGGCTTTGGACAAAGTGAGTTCTGATTCCCGTTCACATTTCAATTTGGTGGATTTGTTTGTTTTTTTAGGTTATACCATAGAAGCAAATGTCCTTTCATAAATAACGTTTATCATAAGAAAATATATTGTATTATGTTAAGATATCTTGTTGCAATAAGCAGTACTATTTCAACTATTACTTGCATTCAGTAATTATTAGGGATGCACTAATACCAGTTTTTCGGTATCAAGTATGAGTACCGATATTTATATTTCGGTACTCGCCGATACCGGTACTTCCGGTAGCATAGAGCCAACTTCCCGGGCAATCAGGGAGCCAGGTGGCGTGTCATTACCCACCGCCGGGCTTGTTGATTGCCCGAGAAGCCGACTCCATTCTGTTTGGCCGGCTCGATGTTGATTGATGCTCGATGACAGATCTGATAATATGGTGACACAACCTCCACCCTGCAGACACCTCATTCCCCTCACATCGATTCTCAGCAGCAGTCATTACCGTACCAAAGATGTCCCTCGGCCAGCTGGGCAGACACTGCTCTCCATGCTCTACTAGATCTGCCCACTTCTCCTGTGTGTACAGTGCCCACATGATCAACTCTCAGCCTGCTACTGCGCATGTTTAGACTGCCCAGCGCTCTCATTCAGCAATCCTCCAACAGCATCAAGCAGGCGGTGCTGACGCTGTACTAGTATCGGTATCGGTGCATCCCTAGTAATTATCCAACATTGTAATTTAAAGTGGACCTGTACTCAAAATGGGAAGATATGCTATTTTTAGGGAACATCTAGAAATGTTAATTGTGCCCAAGCGGTACCCTGAAAGATGTACCTTTTCCATGAGCCTTATACCTGTATATCTGTAGTATGATATAATTTAAGGCACCACTGCTCTAACTGTTAGTCTCACCAGATTTGGAGTGAGATTTGAGGATGTCACTACTGAGCTGCTCACTGTTCTCCTTGCTGAAGTGGAAACTGTACCTGAGGACCTGTAGTGCAAGCATCTACCTACTTTCTTTAATTCGGTGGGTCTGTTTTTATGCACCTCTGATGCTGCATCTTGATCATTACCCAACTTGTAAGCAAATCACCAGCCATAAGGGGGGCAGCTTTGACATGTGGAAGGAAAGTGCTGCCTCTACAAAATGATTGCCTCCACTTACAGACACAGTTCAGATCAAAGCATGGCAAGACAGTAATGGGAAAAAGATCAAGTGCAGGAAGACCATGGGCAGTACAGGTGACTAGTCCTTTGTCTTCTGTTGCCTTTTTGGTTCACAAATTCTACAGTACAGGTTCTATTTAAAATGGCACTGTGATTACTAGCATTTGGTGAAGTACCCAATATTTTACTGTTATTGTTTTTCCAATACAGCAACAGATGAGTTGAAGGAGAAGCTTAGCTCTATACCAAACATTCGTGAGACACAATCTGCCACCAACACAAGGACATCATACTCTCCGAGCCTGAGTGACGGCCTACGAAAAAGGTCAGAAAACAATAGACACATATAAATTTAAGGATATACAAGCTTCCTCTTGTGGTAACAAAAAAGGAACAAATGTAAGGATTTACTACGCGTTTGAAGTATCTAAAGCCAAAAGATGTGGTTTTTATTGCTGTTTTTTGTCCCTGTCCTGGTGACTATTCTTATGTGATTGAAAATGAGCACCGTGGTATTAGGGGTTTGCAGCAAGCGGTGCAAGGTGTGTGAGCACATGTGCAGGCACCCTGAGGTGGCTGCTTTCCACCATTGCTGTTAATGTCTCACTATTAAAGTATATCTAAAGCCAAATTTGTTTTTTGTTGTTTTGGATAGTGTGAAAGGGTTAGAAAGTCTGGTAGGTTGTTATTGCTGTGTTTGATTCACCTTCTCTGTTTGTCCTTGCCACAAAAAGTGATAGGAAATCCAAAATTGCATGGTTGGCATCGGAATAAGAATAGAGGGGATCTCTTCAAAGGGGACATCTCTTCTGATGGTAGTTGTTTAAGAGGGGATTTCCATTACCTTGGACAGATTCTCTTTACTTTCTGTTCTGTCTCTTGGAAAAGAAGTTAGGAGAAATTTCCCTAATGGGACATGAAGGGCAAATATACCTGACTGGATACTGACTTTTCCATACTCAACACAAAACACTTGTGGCTTTAGACATACTTTAAACAGGACCTTAACCCTGGAAGTTGTGCGAAAAAAAGGCAAGGAGAGTGCAAAGGACTAATGATCCCACCTTCCACCTCCTATTCCACCTCAATCTAACCACTCAACCATCACGTTCTCAAACAATTCATCCCCACACAGCTACCTCCTCACGTATCACTTGCCCCTCCCTTTTAGATTGTAAGCCCTCACGGGCAGGGCCCTCCTCCTTGTATTGTGAAGTGCTGCGCAAACTGTTGGCGCTATAGAAATCCTGTATAATAATAATAATAATGACCATTACTGTCTGTAGGTTCCCTGCAGCTTCCTATTGCTAACTTGCCATGCCTTGTTCTGCACTGTGTCTTTGTGTGCGGTTGGCCTTATTGGTAGAGGCAGGGCTTTGCTTCCTCATGCCATAGCTGCTGCACTGATAACTCGTGATGTGTTGATTGGTGGGTGAATATTAAAGAAACGGCAGAAAAGGTGGAGAAAGCACAGATTGGATGAAACAAAAGCAGAAAGATCTTTGCACAGCGTGTCCACAGGTACAGCTTCCTCTTCAGCAAGGAGAACAGAGAACAGCACAGTAGTAAAAAAAAAATCTCACTCCAGATCTGGTGAAACTTGCATACCGAGGCAGCAGTGCCTTTCTCAACTATACAACCACAAGGCTGTAGGTACAGTCACATGCCAGAAAGCGCACTGCTATTTTTATGGTGTAATTCAAGACAAAAGGTAAATTTTCATTGTACTGCTTAGACATTTCTAGGTGTTTCCTATAACATAGAAAATTTTAACTCTGAGTTCAGTCTTCTTCAATAAAGTTACAGATGATGCTAAGATTAAAGGCCAAGATACTCATGGAGGTTGTTGCATGTATATAGAAATGATGAGGGAGAGTAATGATAGTTATGGTTTATCTCAGATTCTGGTTTATCTAAACATTTTTTGCTGAAAACCATGTAATACTGGAAACCTGAACCAGACAAATACAAGTCACCTGGCTTTCATGCTGATCCACTGGCTTCAGCCTTTTCTGAGTCACATACCCTGAACAAGTATGCAAATAAGGAGTTATGACTTCCCTCTTATCTATTGTCTGTGTACTTGTTTCAGCTCAGGGATTCAGAAACCATTTAATCCAGTGGCAGCAAGGCAATTTACATTTCCTGAAGTTCACCAATGACTGCTTTCTTTTTTTTCTCCTAATTTTTACATTCATCTGTAGAGAAGAACATAAATGGTTTTTGGAGAAGCACCCAGAGAAGCTCATCCCTTTGCTTGGGAAGTTGTACATCTTTTCCTACACATGGGCATTTGGAGGGGTTCTAACCCGTGAGGATGAGCAGGAAGGGGATTCCCTCATCGGATTAAAGGCTAGAGATGAGCTCCTGGTCAATGTGACCCATGACTTCAGCAGTTTAGTTCATGATCTGTTTGAAGGAGAACAAACCCGTGGTAAGAAATCTCTCACAGTTTAGTAAACAGTAAAGCAATTCCCCCATCCAATGCACAGATCCTTCCACTTTTATGAACCCTAACCAGAACTTATTGTTGCCTAGATGCCCGAGGCAAATTTTGCAGCGTCAATGTGTGTCAGTAACCTTGACATTATTCTCTGTCAATTTTCCATCCTAAATAACTTTTACATGCATGATATATGCGTCTTTTATTTGTCCCACTCTTTTAATACATTTCCAGAAGATTATTTTAAGCCATTTTTTTTACATTTTTCAAATTAATGTTTTTACTTACTCTGTTGCACTGTGACAGCTGCTGTCTGAGTGCCTCAACTGCTACTGTGCCTCCCTCGGTACAAGACACAGTGACAGCTAGAGTCTGCATCTATCATGGTGATCAGATGTCCGGGAACCAATCAGCATTGTTCCAAGGCGTTCACGTGAAAGTACCCCTAGACATTATACCCCTATTTTCAACATGTACCTCACCAGTGCACAGAATGTGGCCCGCTGTACTCCAGGCCTTTTATCAGGTGTAGAGCACAGCAGGCTGAATACTGAGTGCCAGCAAAATCTTTAACGGTGGAACCACCAACTGTTTGTGACAGCCAAGGTCCAGTCTCAAATATGAAAGGATCAGCTCCTTGGCTTCTGATCCTGCTATAAAATGGACTTTTACTTAGCTATAGTTGCGGTCACATGACTCCCCAGTCTCTCCTCTTCTCTCTTACGGGAGGTGGAGTCCTTCTTTATTGTCCACGTCACTGCCTGTATGGAGACCGACATATAATATTTGCCCTGAGGCTTTCAAATTTATCTAAACAGCTGAAAAAATGGTAATTCATTGCAGCTTACCAGTTGTTAGATGTGAAGCTGCATTAGTTTTGTAACCCTAGATTACTCTCCTGATTTGGACTACAACCCTCCCCCATTATCTCTATTACATAGTAAAGGTGTGTTTTGTATTTCACTTATGAGAAACGGTAAGGCTGGTTACGTTGTTTAAGATTTCAGTTCAGTGTGCAGGAAGTTACAGGGACACTGGATTTAAGGATATGGTGATTATCAGGTCAACCATCACATTTAAGGACTTGTAAGCTGTAATATATTACATTTGTGTTCTTGGGTTTAGAAACGCTTTCAATACTTTTGTTGTCTTCATTCACTTTTGCATTTTCACTTTCACTTGTTTGAATTAGATACTTTTGCCCGAATTAGACATTTTTGTAGCCACGCGTCCAATATATGGCTTTCCCATTCGTTATGGCAGATATCGTGGAGAAGTGGGTATCCTAAGCACTTGCAGTGATCCGCATTTCTCTGTACTGATGGGCCCGAAATATCTAACTCCACTCATAGATGTTTTCTGCAGCGGATGTACCCTGAGGATATTGCCACCTCAAATTCAGCCTTTTGAGAAACAAATGCTTAAAGCATATCTAAAGTTAAATACAAAAATATAATATATTGTGGAAAACCAGTCCTTAGATGAGGTGGGTACATTAGTTTCCTGTGTTCAGGCAGTTTTCATTTTTGTCCACCTAGCGATCTTGCGAATAACATACTTTATGTCCTTGTGTGACAACGCTCACTCCTTCACTGCATCTATGGAGACAAACATGGTTGGCAACCTAGGACATAACTATAAACATGTCTTTGTTCATCTTCAATGCATGGGCATAGGACGATTAGTAATTTACAGTAGGCAGATAAGATTGTTCAATGCTTACTGATCAGCTCACAGGAAGTGACAAGGACAGAGCATTTTTGGCAATAGCATGCATTTTATGTACCTGCTTAAAAGGTTCTATACCTGAACAAAGAAAACTAATGAAGCCACCACATCTAGCAACTGACAAGCTGCAATATATTACATTTGTGTTCTTGGGTTTTCGATACACTGCAGAACTAAGTACACCTGTATATGTGTTTTATTTTAGGAGTTCAGTTGCCACTGGGACAGAGTTCGGTCTTCAGTTATTTTGTGGATCTACAAACCGGCAACTTTGTGCCTTGGCACAGCTTAGTTCCTTCTACAGAATCTTTAATCCAGAAAGGTAACATTCCTCCTGTGCTTGATGCTCATTGGGTATACATTATGCCCCTGCCTGTTTTCTCTTATGGGAAGTTAGAGTAGATTTTGAGGTTTTTAAGATTTACTAAATATGTGAGTGTGATCAGCTTAACATAAAGAAGCGTATTAGTGTTTTAACATTGTTTGTAAATATAGAAGTATATGGGGGCAGCCTTTTTGCCTATTACACTTGCAGGCTCTGCTCCATGCTTTGTAGTGCACAGTGACTGTGCACCACTGCTCCTGGAGTGTGGTACCAGTGGTATAGAACCATGTACTGATTTTCCTTGTCTAAAGCACAGGTAGAGGTTTTATTGGCATTAGACCAAATATCTCTCCCGCACTCCAGATCCAACACCCAACCTAACAGTGCCCTCCATCGAGTCATATATTTATGTTTCGGGAAAGGTTCAATGAGAATAGTGATTGAAAGCTGGTATATATCCAAAATTAGATGCTTATATAAAGGGCCTTCCAAGCACATTTCCTCAAAAGGGGTTACATTAGAGAAGGTTAGAGTAGAGGAAATAGAGTGAAATATTCTAATTCATTATAGTGGTTAAGTAAGTGGGGAGTGAGGGTTGACTGAAAGGTTTGAAATATAGGTAAGGAAGGACATAGGGACCAGGGGTTTACCGTTGGGCAAGCTTATTATGGGACTATTAAGACACACAAGATCCTCCCCTGAGAGCTGAGGCAAAGAACATTCCGAAAGATAGACTTCAATTCAAGAATTTAGCATGGGATCATCAATATCAATAGCAGGGTCTGGTAAATTATAAAGATGAGTGTAATAATCATGAAAAACAGAGGATATCTTTTGGGGATCAAAATGTTCCACCCCTTACATGTCCCTAATAGAGTGTACAGATTTGAGTGACATGTCCCCCTTGAGTTTATGGGCTAGAAGAGTATGGGCTATGTTATGGAACCAATCTCCAAAGAGATAGTATATTTTGCAGAGCTGTGACATTAGTAAGAAAACACATTTTCTCGGTATGTGTTCTATGGGCCAAAAAATAAAAGGTAAATTGCTTATCAGAGGGATTCAGAGTTCTCCAAATGTCAAATAAAGAATGCTGTTTAAGCAACATCTGGGCCACAAGGTTTCCTTAGAGGGCGACCCATTGTCATAACCAAGTCTATCCAGCTCAGGGGTGAGGGGCAAATTAAAGTTGCCTCCCGTTATCAAATAGTGGTGAGGTAAAAAATCCATGTTATAGATAACACTTTTCAACAGTATTGGTCGATGTTAGGAGCATGGACATTACATAGAGACACTGATTCGGGGCTCCATTTACCCTGTAAGATAATGGGTCTGCCACCTTTATGAAGAGTGGTTTCTGAAGGTGTAAAGGGGCATACTACAAACAAGAGCATTTTACAGCCTTTCCCCTAGAACCTGCCTTACTTTTATCAGAAAAGGTTTTTTCGACAGACATGTAAACCTTTTTGGGATAGTAAGTGGTAAAAAATGGTAAAACATAGCCCCTACAGACAAATTGCAAGGGGGACAAGGGGGAAAGAGGCGAAGTGACAGGTATAGATGAAAAGAGGAAACGGGGGAGGAGAAGGGAAGGAGGAAGGAGAAAAAGCAGGGAAAGAGGTGATGGGACAGGAGGAAATGAGAAGGGGGGAGAAAGAGAAATCCGTCAGTCAGCCCCCGCCAACCAACCATCCAACCAGTATTAAAACTGTAATTCCGTGCTATGGAGAAGTAACCAAGCTGCTGTGCAAAACGTGCCCAAAAGGCACTGGCAAGGTAATAATTATCAAAGTGTAATGCGATAATAAATAATCAACTATAATTAATGATGTTCATCAAACAAACTTCAAAAAGTACCTCAACCTGATTTTTAAACGAAATAATCCAAAGTTATCAAAATATAAATCCAAAATGATTGAAATACCTGCAAATATAGGAGATTGTGATGAAATCAACGGTGGTGATCCATGTGAATCATATTGTAAAATTGAATAAAATATACAATCCAAAATGATCAGAGTATATAAATATATATACATTTATACAAAAATGTGACAATATAAATCAACAATCGGGATCAATAAAAATCATGATCAATAAAATGTCCCAATATGGTTATCATTTATCCCATAGATAATTTTAAACGTCCAAAAAATGTGAACCACTGTGTTAAATAAACAAGCGGTGTCCAAAATCCATTTCCTTCATGTATACATTTTCTCCAGTAGCCATCGGGTATTAAAGGGTCAAATAAAGCAGGGAAAGTATGAATCAAATATCCCCGTGTTCCTTCTCATCCACTTCAATCAATATCCTCTTATTCCGCTGGGTTGCATTTTCAGTGTCAAAGAACACTGCGCATTAGCCCGTAGAATGAGTAAAACTCACAGTCTGATAACGTTCAAAAATTTTATTGAAAGAGAAAAGTTCTACTCACATAGATAAAAGACACAGCCGGCATAATAACTCCAAACAAGTATAATGCTGCAGCGCGCTCTCCTCCTCGATCTCTGGAAACTATAGCATAAGCAAAGTCCGCTCTGACGCGTTTCATCGTCAAAGACTTTGTCAAAGGACAGCACACTTTGCTGAGACAATCACCCTCATCCAATATATAGCAATTCCCTTCATCCCCATTAAAACATATAATGTCGAAGAATAGAAACTAGAGGTCAGCATTGTAACAATCCACGGTGTTGGATGCAGCGATGTCAACATATTACCATCAAACGAACCATAATACAGAAAATAGCCTAGTATTGATTCTAATAAAAACATATACAGCAGACAATACCTAATAATTACAGCAAATAATCACGAAAGTATACAAGCAAATCTAGAATGTTAAATCATCTAATAATTATTAGATAATAAAAGCCATAGAATTATACAGAGAAAATCCTATGATACAACCACCTGCAAATCTATAATAATTAACCGGGGAAAATGGTCATTTACGGTAATAAAAGCAATATCTGAAGGTGAATGGTACATAAAATCCTAGATATATAATTTAGGTAATAGATGAATGTTAATTCAGGTATTTAAGACTGAAAGTATAATTAAGATTAGTTATCTGAGAAATATTTTTAGTAATAGAAATTGAAGGTGGATAATGTGTCTCAATCTTTCGTTAAAATAGTCAAATGGTGTAGATAATCGTTTAATTAAAAATCTATAAATGGAATAAAAATATTAACTGTTTGACCTATAAATAAATGAATCCTATAACGATTATTTCTTAAATAGTATAAAATGAATAGTTACTCAGAAAACAGTTTAAATCAAAATATATACTCAGTCCTTTAGGGGACATAGTGTCTAGTGAATAGATCCACTTTGATTTGTTTTTTGAGATTTCCCTTTTAATATTTGAGCCTCTCCAATGTTTGTCAATCTTATCAATCTCCATGAACTTGAGGCCACTGGGATCACTATTATGGCAGAATTTAAAGTGTCTGGAAACACAGGGGGAATTTATCAAAACTGGAGCAGACACAATTTGGAGCAGCTGTGCATGGCAACCAATCAATTTCGCTCTTTCATTTTCAAATCTTAACCGAACAAAGTGAAGAGAGAAGCTGATTGTTTGCCCTGGGTAACTGCTACAGATTTTGCCTGCTCCAGTTTTGATAAACCCCCCCACTGTCTTTATCGTCTCCTGTCCTGATACTTTTTTTATGTTCCTCTATCCTCTTTAAGAGCCTTGTGGTCCTACCAACATATTGTTGGCCGCAAGGGCACTCCAAGAGATACGTCACATATCTCGTATTACAAGAAATGAATTTCCTCATTTTAAATAACCTGCCATTAGCATGTGATTGGAAATGGTTAATCTTTAACCTTTCCCCTGTAGTTCTACATCCAATGCAGCGCTTACAGGAGTAAAAGCCAATTCCTTCAAAAAGCGTCAATGTACGTTTAGGTGGTTCAACAAAATTTTTAGCTAATCTATCCCTCGAAGTGGGGACACGTGTATAAATAATTTTGGGTTACTAGGTAAAAGAGGGCCTTCCTATATGTATTTGGAGTTCTGTTTCCTGCATGATATTTCCCCCAACCTGAGTTGTGGTGTCTCGCTTGATCTCTTATCCCTGTATGTCCTGGAGGGCAATCTATGTGTGGGTTCTCTAAAAATGTTTATGTGGATTTGCTTATGTCTTTTTCTCCTCCTCCTGTTGGGAAAGGAGGGGATGATATCTTTGAGACAAGGGTAAGTGGAATAACTCATCCCGTCTTCTAATGGGAGTTTTTTGTCTGTCATTATACATTCCCTGAAGGTGTTGTTTCTCCCCATAGTCCTTATCTCTTTTTCTATGTACGGGTTTTCAGTGCTGCACTTTTACTTCCGTCTCCTCCAATGACTGACTCTCCTCTCCACTTCTTTCACTCGTATTACAACTCGGGATCCTTCCATCAGTAGATTGCCATTTGTAAACCTTACCATTCTTATAATCCATTTAGTCTCTTATGTATTTTTTATGTTTTTTATTTTTGATCTCAATATCCCTCTTTTGTAAAAAGTTTTCTACCTCTTTTATTGAAAACTTATATTCTTCCACCTCTTTAAACAGTTCTAGTTTTTCTTTTAAACCAAAAACAATTATAATAGGTGCCACGCTAAAATACTTCAAGTGCCAATAAATATCTTATAAGTATGTGTACATTCTCATATAATTACAATAAAATTAATTTGTGCATGTATTAAAAAAAAACGTTCAGCCAATAATGTGTTATGGTTGTGAAAACAATCCAATCCACCGCTTCACCCGTGAGGCTCTGACAAACAAGCTGCTCACCTTATGAATGTATTATTGAGGCAGAAGACACTTCAATATCCGATTGGCTTGTTATTTATTTTTTCCATGTGGGGTCTATTTATAAGGTGAGCAGCTTGTTTGTAGGAGCCTCACAGGTGAAGCGGTGGATTGGAACGTTGTCACAATCTAAACCCATTATTGGCTGAACTTTTTTTATATCTGCACAAAGACTTTTAAGCGTCAATAATAGAGACACACACATGTGGTGT